TGGCCCAGGCCGACCCCGCCGCGGTGTCCCGGGGTGGCCGGGGTGGCCGGGCCCCGCTCCAGGGGAGCCAACTTTCGCGCGGCGCCACCCCTGCGGGGCCCTATGGGCCGGGGAAGCCAGGGCAGCCAGCCCGGCGCTGCCAGGGCGGTGCCGGCGGCGTGTCTAATAATTAGCTTACGAGGCCGGTTTATTGAATAAGGGCTGCGGCCAAGCGAAGGACTGGATGCCAGCGAACTGGCAACGCTCCCGCGGCACTTGTTGCTACAAAACGCGGCAACGCGCGCTGCAGACTGATTCCTCCGCCGCGGTGCGTCGCTCTGTCTCTCTCGCACCCACGCGGAACGCCACGCCGAGCGCCGCGCCGAACGCCGCGCCGAACGCCGAGAGACGGCGCGACGAAATTGATGTTCGGCATCGGTCTGCGCAGCGCGTACCGCGTTGGCCCTCCCGGGCGAAAATACACCTCGCCAATCCGACCGCAGATTAAAGAGGCGCCCTTTTTTCCTGTTCTGTTTTCCTGCTCCTCCACCTCGCCTTCGCCCTCGCACTCGGCGGCACCGTTTCTCCGGGTAGCGATCACGACCGAGCCACGCGGTCAAGCATGCAGATTTCTCTGGGACTGCCCTTTGTGTTTGGAAAAGGGGACGGAAGAGGGAGAAAGGGAGGGACCTGGAGGGGGCGGGAGCGCTGCCTGCAAGGCTGCATTAGAGGGAGAGAGAGCGGGAGAGACAGAGAGACGCTGCTCCATGCCGAGCCACGTTGGCTACACAGCAGTCGGTCTGACCAGAACAGATCTGTCTGTGTCGGGCCCAGAGGGACACGGCGCAGAATTAGGGAATGAGTTTGTCGTAGACCGTCCCCTCCCCCTTCGCCTACCCCACCTCACTCATCAACCCCCTCATCCAGGAACCCCGAGGGACAGCCGGGCACACGGACAGGACGCCCTCCCGGGGAAGGCAGCCTGCCCTGCTGCTTCTGTGCGAGAGAGAGAGAGAGAGAGAGAGAGAGAGAGAGAGAGAGAGAGAGAGAGAGAGAGAGAGAGAGAGAGAGAGAAACGCAGCGAAGAAACGACTCTTCGGAGCCGCTCGCCAGCACCCTGCTTTGCCTGGCATCGCCTGCTACAGTCTCTGCGACATTGTAGCAATCACAGGACAAGTTGGAAAAGAGCTCGGGTGGTTCGAATCTTTGCGTGGGCTCGTCACGGCCCGGCCAGGTGGAGTGCTGTACGTGGCTGTGCGCGGCTGTGCGTCCCCCAGGCCTATCACTCCGCCTATCATTCAGCACCCCCTCCCTTGCTGGTGACCTGGGCTCCCTGGCGCTCAGCGGGCCAAGGACTGATGCAGAGATCCACCCATTCCCATTACATTACGTCCCCGTCTCTCTCTCTCTCTCTCTCTCTCTCTCTCTCTCTCTCTCTCGCTCTCTCTTTCTCTCGCACTCACTGAAGCGGAGGATTATTCGTTTTTTTGGCGGTCGACAGTCTTTTGACTCCTCGCCAAAAAGGCAAACTTATTCGAGAGCGAAATTTTACTATCTTCCTGTAGTGACAACGCCAGTGAGAAAGTCAACATTATTGTTGGTCGCCGCAGCAGAAATATGACAATGTCCGGCTCGCAAAAACGTGTCCAGTCAATCGACATAATCGGACAGATGACAAAGGGAAGTATGGAAGAGACGCCACGAGGAATCAACTTTCGGCCAAAAGTTGCCCTCAGCCTTCAGACTGGACGTCCTGGACGTCGCGACGAGCGGCCCGCCTGGCTGCCAATGCCACAAATAATAGAGACTCTGCGCAGTCGTCTCGTCGCTCTGTCTCTCTCGCACCCCTACGGGCCACCCCATGAGTGTGACAGAGAAAGACAGCGATAGAACCCGTCGGCATCGGCCTCAGGCGTCGAGAACTCGCGCGATGGGGAAGTCTGAAAAGCGCCTGTGGGTAGGCAACCCGCCACGCCCCCGTGCGTTCCTCACGCTCGTTGCCTACCCAGCAGGGGGCCCCTCCCCTAGCGCTGGAGACATAGCGACTCCGTGCCGACGGCGTGCCGTGCACCCGGAACAGTGGGGCGGCATTGTCGCCAAGTCGTTGGAGGCCGACACGGAGGGTGGCCGGCCGCGAAGCACCGCGAAGCACCGCGAAGCGTGTAGCCCAGTGTAGCCGGGCACACAGCCCGCACGGCCCGGACCGCACACAGCCGAGGGCGCCGAGTGTCGAGTGCCGTCTGTGGTCGAAAAGTAAACGGAGCACAGTCGGGGCCCTTCCGGCGTGCGGCTGGCCCCGCTGGCCCCGCTGGCTCGGTACGCGGCACTGGGCGCGAGCGCGGAGCCTTGCCCTCGCTTAGGGACGGCCCCGAAGCAAGTTTTAAGGGCCGATCGGGGACCGGTAGGCTCATTCCGGGACGGCGGTCTGCCTCTCTCGCACGAATACGGGACGCCCCGCAAGTGCGAGAGAGAGAGAGAGAGAGAGAGAGAGTCGGAATCAGTCTTCCAGGAGTCGGTGGACCGGACGGACGCGGACTGTGGACCGAGGAGCGGGTTATTCGGTTAATGCGGAGCGCGTTGAAAGGGGATTGTGGTATTGCGTGCGCTCAAGAGGAAGGGACGGACTGGCAGGAAAGGGGTCGGGTCGGCGCCGAGGGGGAGCGGCTGCTCCAAGGAGGACACGCTGCCCGGCCGGCGGCACATTATTCTCTCTCTCCCTCTCACACACACAGACACACATGTCGCGGATCAAAGTCAAAGTCGCGGGGACTCACTCGGCGTCTCCGCGCCGCGACTGTCACGTCCCGAACAGGGGAACAAGAACGCGGCGAGCGCTCAGCTCGGCGAAGTTGGCGATCCGTCGGTGCGATTGGAGATTGAAGGCACGGCGCGCGCGGCATGCAGGCGGCAGCACGGCCCGGCCCGGCGGAAACGAGGGGGAAGCGAGGCGCTCGGCATGAGCTCGGGGTGCGGAGCAGTGCGGAGCGGACGGAAGCCCTTTGTCCCTCAGCCCCGGCAAACTTGGCCGATAAATTTAAATTATCGGGCCAGCGCGTTTTGGCGGCGCGGCGCTGCACTGCGCGACCGCCGTCCCCGTCGAATGCAGCGAGGCGGGCGGCGGCCCTTTGGCGCGCTGTGCCGGCAGCATGGTCTGCGGCGAGCCGAGTCCGACCAACGCTTTCGTCGCTCTCTCTCTCTCTGCTGGCAGCGTATTGTTGAAAGGGAAGGCGAGGCACACGGCGCTGGAAAACAATGAAAGCGTTGGCGCCCCGGAGTGACAAGTGACAGAGGCCACGGTGCCGAGAGCACGGGCCTTGTGCCGCGGCTTACGCCGTCTTGGCTCTGCCTGGACCCGCTTGGCGCGCTGCCCGGCCCCCGCGACCCCGCGACCCCCGGCGGGGCGCCGAGCCCTTTCCCGCCAATTGCTTCGACGGCGAGTCGAGTGCCCTGGGGGCAGCGACGCGTCGCGACGCCGACGCCGCGTGTCTACGTACCACTGCTGCTTGACGGTCTGCTTGACGGTCTGCTTGTCTAGCTGGCGGCGTGGCGGCGGCGGGCGGCGTCGAGACCAAGGGTTGCCGTCGGCGCGCAGCCCGCGCACATGACTGCGCGAGCGAGAGGCCGGGGCGGCGGGGCGCACCGGGGCGGCGGGAGCGCTGGAGGGCAATGCGGCGCAACGCAGCGCGGCAGCGCACTCGTCCCACGCCACGGGCTCCACGGGCACCACGGGCACGCCACGCGGGGGCCGTACTACGAGTGGGGCCCCGGAGCGGCGGCGCGGCGGCGGCGAGGGAGGCGGCGCTGTGGCGCTGCCCGGTGAAGGGGTGGCGTGGAGGCGGCGCGGAGGCGGCGTGGTGGGGGCGGCACGCGTGCGGGGTGGGGCGGAGCGGGGCGGGGGTGCGTTGCGGACAAATAGCGCTCACCTCGCAGCGCCTCGCAGCCTCGCACCGCGCTACTGTCTCCGCGCCGCCGTGGCCGCCGCGGCCCGGCCGCCCGGAAAGACCGACCAGGACACTATAATTGCGGGGAAACTCCGCAGGGACGCGGGGGGCGGCGGGACTTTGGCGTCTGGGGCTTTGGCTGCACCCTTAGGGGCTGATCTGATAGCCGCCAGCCGCCACCGCGTCCACCAGGACCACCAGGACAGCGAGGAGGCTGGGAGCGCGGAGAGGCAGGGCAGGGCGGGGCGGGGTGGGGGGCTGATCGATGCCCCGCACCCCCACGCGCCCCACCCCGCCCGCTGCGCCCTCCGCCGTCCCACCCCTCGAGGAGCTTGGCTGGCTTGGCTCGGTCCAGGCCACCTTGGCGCTCTCTGGCGGCGCCTGGCCCGCCTGGCGCCTGCAGAGGCTACAAACGCTCCCCGCCACTTGTGTGCCACTTTTGAAATCGCGCCCGCCGTTCGCCGTCGCCCACCCCCTCCCCGCACCCCCCAGTACCCCTCCCCACCCCCGGCCGAGTCCAGAGCGCGGCGCCGTCGCGGTCCGGCCCCTCCGGCCGATCCCTGTACATGGGATGAGATTCCCCCGGGCGAGCCAGCCCAGCGGGCCCAGCGGGCCCAGCCAACCTCTCCCTCCCTCCGTGACGTCATCGACGCTTCCTTCCCTCGGAGTGACGTCACGCGGTGTGACCTCGTTCCCACTCCGCCGCTGCCGCTGCGGCTTGCGCTCGGAGGTACCGAGTAAGACAAGTACCGCCCTGCTCTCATGGAGCCATGCTGCTCTCTTTCTCTCTCTCTCAAGAGATGCACACGAAAGAGCGGTCCGATAAAAGAAACTAGACAGCTGCAGTGCAGCACAACGCGGTAAATTTTTCCGTGTCAATGTAAAAGTCGGCTTGGCTGATGACTCTGGTGAATTCGGTTATCTCTCAATCGTCTTTGAAGCGAAAAAGAGTTTCAAGCGAGAACGCCTCTGCACGAGAATATACCCACCCAACCCGCCCACACTCTTCCCGTTTCCCGCGCATTCATCAAACGGTGCTGTTTCTCATACTCTTTCCGCAGTTCCACACAAACCGCAATCTCAATCTGAAACTGCACGTCAACGGACTGTGAGGCGCAACAGCTGTACGGTTTACATTTACATTCAGTTGTCATGTTTGTAGTAAACATTCGCAGACATGGCCTATGTCAACGTTGCTGAATGGAAACCAGATCAAGTCACAGAATGGCTTAAAGGTAAGTCTCGACTTTATGTTCAAGTTATGTACAGAAATGTGTCTTGTGATATACTTGATTGGATTTGCCCATTACTCTTCGATCGCCCAAACGACCTCTAATTCTTTAGTCAAACCATTCACGTTTGGGTCCTTAGGATTATAAAAAGACAGATTTGAGACGCAACGGTGCTTCAGTTTCTCTCTGTGAGACTGTTAAACTAGTGCACGGTGTTAGTTTTGTATTCGTTGTTTTTTGTGTTAGCCTTTTTTGAGGTTAGAGTCTTATCTATTTTTGGAGTGAACCCACAACATCAAGTTCTTGTTCTTAGTCATTCATATGTGTTGTAAAACCCAAAGTAATTTGAAAATTGATCTTATTTTTCAGGTCTAGATAGCTCAATTTTGGTCTACTTGCATCTGTTTATAAGCAATGAAGTTAATGGCCAGCAATTATTGAACGTAAGGTCAGAAGACCTGGACAATCTTGGAATCAAGCGACTTGGACATCAGGAACTAATTTTAGAAGCAGTAGAGCACCTCAGAAATTTTGTAAGCTGCCTGTATTTTTGTTACTTTTGATTTAACATTAGCACATCCTCACTCTTGTTTTCCATTTTGTCGAAATTTTGCTTAATTTTAGCACTATGAATTGGACCGAGAAAACCTCCAGCTACTGGCTCTTAGGTTGTCTTGCCAAGCCCACAGTTTGCATAATGAACTACTTAGACAAACTGATTCTCAACCAGTTAGCACTCAAACTCTAGCTGATGTCGCTAGTGTTGTCAGAGCTGTGAAGCCATTAGTTTGCTGGTTGGACAGGTGATCATTTCAACTGATCTTTGATTTCTTAATGTTAATATCTCCTTTATCTTAATAATGTTTTTCTATTTGATCATTTCAGATCACCCTTTACTGGTCAGTTAGAGTATTCTGATAGGAAAAGAGATCTGCTAAAGTACAGCCTTGAAATAGCCACCTGTGCTCAAAGGGATCGTTTTGCTGAAAGACCAGTAGAAGAGATCCGCTCAAGTTGTGCCAAATTATCTGCTATTGCAGATGGAATAATTCAAGATATTGCGGACCCATTGATTCTTCAACCAGCATCACTTGATCTTGCAACTTTACGAAAAAGGGGTGGAGATGATTTGGTTAGTACTTTGCCTACACAATAGATTTTTGTGTAAATCATTAACAGTTCTACTAAGTTTCAATTACTCTCTATTCCTGCTTTTTTGATTTGGTATTAATTTTTTTTTCAGGGATTTTACATTCTGCCATCTTTTTGTGGAGTTCATCAAATTGGTGATATCAAATTTGGTTCACCTGCCCACCAATGTGGAAAAGTTGAAGAGGGAGATGAAGTAGTGCAAGTGAACTATCAGACAATTGTAGGCGTTCTTTTTTTTCCCCCTTTTCCTTTTGTATTTTTTAGTGTTAGTCTACAAAAAATTTAATTCTTCCATCAAACACTTTAAAATGCTTTTAATTTTCATGTGTTCATGTTCAGGTGGGATGGCAGAGGAAGAAAGTAATGGCCTTGTTTGAAGAATCTGCCACTGATGTGTTTTTGACCCTCAAGAAGAGACCAAGACATACAAAAGTTTATGGGCAAATATACATGAAGCCATACAGACTGCCAAGTAAAAAAAGGGCACCAGCTTACACTCGCTGGCATGACAATCTACCTTCACCTAGACCTGAGCTACTCACCATTCCAGATTTTGATATTCAAGTGCCAAGGTTGGTATTATAATTTTGTATGTTCTGTCAGTCAGCTGTTTTATTATTATTAATAATTTATCTTACTTGCCAATATTTTCTACCTTGCAGAGCCCTCCCCATGACACCTCCTTCAAAACATGTTACTTTGGAACCTCTGAACAGTACAATTGTATCTACAAGCTCAGAGTCTGAGGATGCCGGGTCAGGATGTGACGAAGCCTCCCTTGATTATGAGCTGGAGGGACACACGTCACCCACTAGCATGCGTCTGTACCTGCCTAAGCCAAGAGTGCCAGTTCAACGCCGGGCAACCATTACTGGTGCAAGCCCCACCTCTCATCTTCCTCCAGTTGATTTAGAGAAGGTGATACTTGTTAACAGCATTGTCTACATTTTTTATGCCTTTTCATAAACATTTTTCATGCTGTCTGTTCTTGTCTTTACTTTTCAGTTCTGGAGAGAGTTAAAATTAGAGAAGAAGTGGAAGTTTAATGGGAAAACCCCTGAGTCCCACAACTCAAACCCTGAGTGTGGGCTTCTCAGAAATAAGTCCCCTTGTGAACATAATGAACGTCCATCTACATGTTTGGGCTTTGAGAAATCTTCCAGCAAAGAATATATCAAAAGAGTTGATTATATAATTAAATCAGACAAAGACTCAAAGGATCACGAGGAGTTGACCAAAGGTCAAGAGAAAAGTTCAGAACAAAAAACAGATATTGTTACTCTTAAAGAAAATGAAGATATGATCAAATCTTCAAATTTCAACAAAAATCGTAGTGAAAAACGTTTTATCACCAGGTTGGAGCTAAAAGTTGATCCTCGGGACTCACGCATAAGAGTTGCAGATGTTACAAACGAAAATGTGGAACTCAAAAGCATTCCAGGAGATGAAACTTCTGTGCAGCCGGACAGTCCACATACTAATCAAAGTAGTCCGTTTGAAAAGACAAGAAAGGTTTCCACTGAGAGCCAAATTGGAGAGTTACCTGTCCACAGAGAAAGAGGCAGATTGGACAAGAGTTTCAGTACTCCAGCATATGACTTGCTGGGGCTTGATGGGCTAGAAATAAATGCCTCCCGTCAGCAGAAATCTCCAGCTGTGAAAGTTGACACAGAGCTTGCTGATAAGTCTGGCTTGTCAGATTTCAGCTCGCCAAATGATTCTGTTTTTGATTACGGTACTATGCCTGATGTGGCATCATCCACTACTCCCAGAATGAAGCAAGCTCAGGACTATTCTACTCATTCATTTTTCAAGTTCCCTCCTGCTCATACATCCTCCAGGCATGCCTCCACAGACCAAGAATTTGACAAGAATAATGAAGATATAAAATCAAGTGACAACTGTGATATGAATTTGAATCCTGTTTTACATGGTAGGGTGGTTGAAACTATTAACCGCCATTTACTTGACTCAAATTGTGGGAAAGATGGTGATGAAGATTGTGATGACCATCGTGATAACAATAGAACTAATCCTCCTTCAGGATTTACAAGAACTGTCACTAGTATTGTTCTGAATAGTCCTGATCTCATATCAGATATCAGCACCCATAGGCTCTACCCAAAACCAGATGACTATGATAATGGAAATCATTTTCATCTGCAAATATCTCCTAAACTTGAATCATTTAGGTTTGATGGTAACAAAAACAGTTATGATATTCATCCTGCTGCACCAAAAACTAGTGACTCAAAAGTTAACCCTGAGATGGTTAATCGTGCTGAAATTGCATCACCAAAATTGATAGTTGGTGATGTCAAGATGCCTGTCTCGCTGCCATTGCCTCCAGCACGCCATCCAGATCCACCATGTCCTCCAACCAAGCAGCCCAAGATCCCTTTCAAGATATCAGTGAATCCTCCAGAACCACCACCTCGTCCAACTCCTCCTAATAGATCACCTTCAATACCTCTAGACCAGCCGAAGTCTTTGCTTCGTGCTAAAATAGGTAGCAAAACTACAAGCCAGCAGAAAGCTGTGGTAGGAAGCCCAAAAGTGTCGCGCAAAAAGAACCCATTCCTCGCCAGTAAGCAATCATTAATTATTATTGTTTTCATTGCTGTCTCTAACTTGTATTTGTTTTATAATGATAAAATTTTTGTCTCACAATAGGAAGGCGCTCAGTTGGGGTGAAAGAATTGGGAGTAGCAGATTATCAAGGCTGGCTTTATCGACGAACTCGCATTGGGGATAGTGGAGTTCAATGGATAAAGGGCTGGTTTATTCTAAAGAGCACGGCCTTTTATGGTTTCAAATCAAGAGAGGTACCCAATTTATTTGCTTACAGTTAGTGTTTGTCAATTTTCTGATCTATTGACACTATATTATCTATTTCAGGCTCACAAAGCAGATTATTTCATATCACTCCCTGGTTTTACAATATCTCCTGCAGAAGAGGTCAAATCAAAAAAATTTGCTTTTAAAGTTTATCACACTGGTTAGTAACCAATTTTTATTCTTCTTTGAGTGTAGAATCTAGTTTCCAGGTTTTAACAACTGTGATTTACCTGCTAGGCACTGCATTTTATTTTGCTTCTGAGTCTGATGAAGAGCTGGCTGCATGGTTGGATTGTTTATCCATGGCAGCTCTTTCAATCGATATTCCAACTTCAAAGTCTTCTGCTTCTGAGGGTAAGTTTCAGGGCCTTTTTTTAAACTCTCTAATGCCTTGTCCCTCATGTTTATTTCATCTTTCTGCCTTTGCAGGTGCTGTTTTTAGTGAAACTGAGGATGAAGGTGATGAGAGTGAGATTGCTGACTCTTGCTTTCCCAGTCCTAAAATGAGGAAGTTCACTAACTTTCTTTCTGGACATTCAAGTCATACATCCCACTCCAGTGGATCTGCAGGAAGCCCCAAACCAGCTCGTTCTCATCAAAATCTTGCCTCCTCTAGCGAATCTAAAACGTAAGCCATTATTTTACAGAAGATTTATAAAGTTTTTATTTCTGCTATTTGGTTATACATATGAATTTTTGTTCATTTTTGTGTCTCTCAGATATGATATACAGAAAAAGTTTGGTTCCCTTAAAAAACTTGGCTATCGGAACAAATGCCCTTATCCATTGTCATCACAGTCATCAAGTTCAGCTACAAGCCTCTCAAGCTCGGAGCAATCGCAAGATGCTCAACCTGCCTCTGCACCACATAGCTTGGATAGGAAAGTTCTGCGGTTTTTGTCCAGTGGCAAGAGTCAAAATGTGCCTGTGCCCACAGCGCAATTTAGAAGCTATCGACGTGTTGTGGCAACAGAACCTTGTTCTACATTTGCAAAACACACTGATGGCAATGCAAATGCAAAAGGGGATGAGTCATTATTGGATACATCAGGTGGCTCTCATGCAGCCAGAAGTGTAGGCAGCTCATCTGGGGACCAAGATATAAGGTGGGCATTGCTTTATCAATAATTTATTGTAAGTTTTATTTGGTTGTAAATTTTATTGTCTTGTATGTAATTTATTTTCCCGTACTTAGGAGGAATAACCGCAATCTAGGCCCACGTGGAGATGATGTCGCTGGCTTCCTTACCCTGGAACAGTTCATGCTTCAGCGACAAGAAGAGGAACGGCAACAAAATCTTCACTCCAACTCCCCTCAGAACCATGATCGAGATTCTGCAGCACCTGGTCATCGTGATACAAGCGAGGGTGAGTGTGAGCATGAAAGCCCACACTCCTAGGACTGGCATGGTTCTGCTTGTGTGATCTATCCCTGCATTCACAGATGGATGTTTTTAATTGAACTATTCTTCACGCATGACTGTTTTCTCTTATTTTATAAGTTAAATACCTAGTACCTTTGGTGAGAGCTTTGAGCAGAGGAGAATTGTTTTCAATGCATGATTAAAATAATGCCTTCATCTCTTGAACATTTTATCCTTGATTTTACTCTATCATAGTATTTTTTGCTGTATTTCTTCACGATCGAGCTTAAAATTGCTCTGAAACATGACAGCTGTACTGTATATTGTGTCAATCCAGATACCATTTTTAATGTGTTCTCAATTCCATTATTGATTTTATATTTCCTTGCCTTTTTCCAGATAACTTATTAACTGAACATATCTTTGGAGTGGAATAATTCTGAGTCTGTGTCCTGTAGTCATGTGTACTTGATGAAGTAGCTTGTAAACTAATTTTCCTGAGGCTAAAATTTTTCTCTGACAATATGGTGGGATTAATGTGTCGGTCTTATTCAGTTTGATGTGACTATCTCTGTTTTAGCACTGTTAAAAATGACCACACTGTTTGCAAGCACAATTTTTATTAACACTTCTGCTTCAGCATTGAAAATAAAACAGGTAAAGTTGGGTGTGATGTAGATTTTTCTCGAATATACCAAGAAACCCTTATGCTTGTCTTTTTCTTTTATGCATGATTAAAAAGAACAAGAACAAACTGTACCTGGTGGCTGTGTGTACTTTGGTTATCACATTTGTTTTATTCCCTTTGTTTTCCTGTCTTCTTAAGACTTGAAATCTCAAGTGTTATTACAGTTTTCTAACTTTTGAAAGATGTGTCAACAAGGACAAACTATTTGGAAAGACTTAGTCTAAGCATGGGAAAATCTTTGCATCATCCCTTGCTTCATCTTTTTGCAGAACCTAAATTCATGGTTTGATTGCTTTTTGAGCATTTTAACTGCATGCTGCTCACTTTCCTAAGTTTCTTCTAATTTGTTTTCTGTTCTTATCCACTCTCTAACTCATACAAATTGTCCTTACAATTGATTTATAACATCCATGCTTCAAGATGACTTGGCTTTGAATTTAGTTAAAAATTGTTTTAATTTTTGTGAGCTTTTGATGATGATAAGCCAGGTTTATGTTTCTAACTGATTTGTAATATTCAATTTGCGTGGGTAGCTTACACAGGTTATACGGAGGACCCAGTTCTGTCTCGGCATAAATCGCTAGAGAAACGAAGAACTCCTCCTCCAGCTCCACCGTCGCTGTCTCCATCGCCCCGCCCAAACACGAGGCCAATTCCTGCTGTGAGGACCATCCTTCCTGGTGGCTCGACTCAGCAAGGAGATGCTAGTGTAGAACCCCCCGTCATAGTTCCTAGAACCTTGAAACCCTCTAACGATTCCCATTCTACTAGGCAAGTACCTCTTAGTAAACATTATGACTCTGCTTCTCTCTTACACATGTATCAATTGTTTCTTGACTAAAATGTTTGTGATTACAGAGAATCTCATGGCACTGGGAAGCACTTGTCTGAGTCATCCACACCTACTTTACGACGTACACCGTTGGCCCCAATGCAACCACGTCTTAAGAATGCTGCCCTGTATCAACCTCCTCCAGTGGCTTTTTCTCCTACTCCAAGTTTAGGTGAGCTTCCTCCAGTTACAAATGATTAAATTCATTTTTTTTTGTCATTAAAATTCTGTTTTTTGTTGTTTTTTTCAATTTGTCCTCCTAGGTCCTTCATTTGAAATGCATTTAGACCACCAAGCTTCTGCAGCACATGCAAGTCCTGATGAAGTGTGGGAGGGTTCTCGTGCAAGAGGAGCCAGCTCTAAAATAAGACAGTTCCTTACTCCCAAGCGTAGTCATCACCTTTCACCACCAAGCCAACCAGAAGTCTCTGCACCAACTCCACAGAGAACAATACTGGGTAATTTTATCGGCCTTTTTTCCAAATTGTGGGCATGTGCTCTTGAGCATCTTCAATTGTGTGCGTATCTTGAAAAATTTTCTTCTATAGGTTCTCCACGTCTGCACCGTGCTTTGTTCCGTCAAAGTGACAGCCGTAAGCAAAAGAATACTCACCCAAGCGATTCCAGTGAACACTTTGTGTACACACCAGGAGCTTATGGTTCTGTCAATCCTTCTGCGACATCCTCTCCATTGCCGTCTCCAGACTGGTCCTCAGACTTCACTCCATCACTGTCCCCAAAGGTAAAAATCATGTTCCACGGTATCTTACTCTGGTTTGAACCTATGAATAAATTTGCTTTGTTTCTGTGCTCGCAGCCAACCATGGGTGTTGCAATGATTGGGAAGAAGCCTGCTGTCTCCCCACTCAGCAACTTCAACAGCCTCTCTGCTATGAGTCCGCCTCTTAGTCCACCCCAGACACCACTAAGCCCGCCGCCCGATTACCCAGGCCTGGAGTACCCTCCTGTGTTCGAGCCTGGTATTTACTCCTTGTCAGATTCTAGCACTTTGTTGAGCCCAAGTACGAGTGTGTACTCCCCTGGCTCCGACAGTTCTGGATCTCTTCAGCCACGGAGATGAAGCTAGCTAATACTTTGAGTTGTCTTTGCAGGTTTAAGGATCTTTGAATACTTTTAAGTTTGTAATCTTTGTCATCTTTCTCTTTGCATCAGTGGTAAAGTGCAAGCCTTGTGCTAGTCCTTTTTCTTCTCATAGTACATTAAATGAGATGAAGAAAAAACTATCTTGTTGCATGTACAATTTTTTAAGGCTTTGGCCAGTAACAATCAATTTTGACCTAAGCAATAGATAAACAAAAGTGCATTATTGTTGATTGATTCTGTTCCTCATTGTTATATATCTATTGTTCTTTCTCTCGTCAGCTATCACATTGTGTTTTACCTGTAGAAATTACCACTCTGTGTTCTTCATTTAAGCACCTTTATTTTAGATGTTACTTTACATATTTTATGAAGATTCTCTTCTTATGATTTTTTTTCTATTTTGCTGTGATCTATGCATAATAATATGCCTAATACCAAGATAACACCATGCATTCAACTGCATTTTCTATGTCAGGGTACCTTCAAGTAGAATTTTATTGTGAAGTTTTGTGGACCTTTTTTAACAATGGTTAACTTGATATTATCTGTTGCTTTTATCCCTTTTTATTTTAGCATAGTGAAGAAAACAAGAGGCATAGAAAAACTTTTGTTTTATGATTGGTTTGCACTGTAAATCTTTCCATTATTTTTCTAGAATCTCGCTCTCTTAACCCTTCTTTGTTTCCTATGGATAAAGAATAAAGAAAGGGTCCATTTGGCTCAATTGACATACTCCCACATAGGGTTGTTCATAAGGTTGTGCGTTATTGTGGTAAGCAAGCTCTTGATATTTATCCAATGTAACTTCTCTTATGTTTATAGCAAATACAAATGGATGTGATTTCCATTCAACTGGTGCCATCATACGCCATTAAGTTTGTACTCTGCCTAGAACTCTTATACTTGTCTGTTGTGACCGCATTGACTGTCAGTATTAGCAGAGATGTATTCTTAGCTTTAAAAGCAGAGTCTTTATTTTGTTGTTTAAGAAAAGTATACCGTAATTATATAAATATATATACGAATATGACAAATATGAGTTGTACTGTGTACTCTGTTCTCTGAAATTTTTGTGAATTTGCAGACGAGTTATTTCAATTTGTCAAACTTGCCAACCCAAGGTTGTAACACAGATCACATTTGAGACAATAATGTTGTGATATTTTTCTTTCAGAAACAAATATATATTTATAATTCAACTGGAAATGGTGTTTGTTGTTTAATACGTAATTCCAATAACTCCCAGTGAAACAATTGAAATCTAGCAAACAAAAGTTTATTTTTCTGACTTAAAATCAGCAAATTCTTTATACTAGATAAATTTGATTTGAACTGGTCATACCAGCCTCATATGCTGAAATATTTTCTGCACACAGTTATTCCATCACATTTTACACAAATATCTCCACCCATCTCAGTACACTTGTTGAGGTGGTTTGCTATCACATTTAGTAGATTAAATACAGAGCCGAAGACAAGTGCCGTGTATTAATGGCATACAAAACACATCTAATTGAGAGAAAGAAAAAAAAAATTGATCCAGGTTTCAGAATATGAAGGGGACTTAATAATATAACTCACATGATACACCTCTGTATTTGTCCTTTCCCTAGAATAAAATTTATACTATCTCAATTCAGCATTCCTGGTAGAGAGCATGAAAACAGGTCTAAAATGAAGAAATGTTTCTCAATGTTATATTCCTTTCATACATATAAATAGTAAAATGGTATCTAAAACAGGTACAGTCAGGCTTTATTCACTCCCAATTTTCCCGCGCAAGTAAGAGAATAATGATTACTTTAATAAAATAGCATCTCATGACTTTGTAAACTCACATAACAACAAACAATCATAACGCTCTATGCAGATAAATGATCATATGCAGTTGGATACAAAATCTCATCCACGCAACATTCTTTCTTACATCCATGCTCCCTGGTGAGATCTATTAAACGACAATGTCATTCCCTCTCCCACCGAAAGTCTCGCCACAACGGAGACATCGAGCTGCCGCCACGATACCCCGTGCGCGAGAGACTCTATGTATGGCCAGCAGCTAGAGATCCTCGCGCGCGGGGTAACGGTGACAGAGATCCTCATTCACTTCACAGAGGCAGCTTGAGGCCAGGGAGCGAGCGGCCGATCGTCCAATCACCGAACACCGCGTAACCAGCACCGCCAATCACTTCATCTTGGTTCCAAAACGCGTCGACTATATACCTTATCCCAAAACTAATATCACGAACAGGAAAGGCATCCACGATAAGACAATTTTAAATAATTACAGTTACTAACTAAAAACAGTACAATGGATAGCGTCAAGTGCTTCGCCTCCCACGAAGAGGGTCGTGCAGGCAGATCGCCCCACCGCGGTGCCACCGGGACAGGGACACCCGGGGGACACCGCCCTCTCGGCGAAGAACGAAACGGAAAGCAGTCTGCCGACGAGTCCTGCCGGAGACACATTGACTAGCACAGCAACATTTGGTCAGTCCCGACTGCACGCCGGAAGGGAAGTCTCAAAGCGAGATCTCGAAGCGATGTCTCGAAGCGAGATCTCGATGGAGCCGCGAGGCCTCAGCAGCCGTTCCGCAGGTTGGCGCTCGAGATCTCGTTGCTCTCGAGCCACTTGGCCACCTCGAGCGGCAGGGCGGGCTTCGACGGCAGCCCGTTAGGCTTCACGGGGTCCAGCACCACCGTGTGCATCTTGTTGTCCTTGTCCTCGGGCTCCATCTCGATGACGGCGCTGGGGTTCGACACCCCCGTCATGGTGGTGGCCATCTTGGGCTCGGGCCTGCCCAGCAGGTCCGTCATGATCTCCTCCGCGTTGCAGTCGATGACCTTCTGCCGGCACACGGCGATGGCGCGCACGAAGTTGTCCTTGGGGGTCACGAAGCGGTGCTCCATGAAGATGCTGGACGCGTCCCAGTAGATGATCTGCAACACGGAGGCCAGGAATCCATTGGTGGGGTCACGCGTTCGGTTCGAGTCCCATTTTCGCGAGCTCAAAACGCGTCTAGAATTTTGGCCGCCTGGTCCCTGGCCCTAGTGCTCACCCTGGAGTCGATGCGGAAGACGTGGAAGGGCCGGATGAAGCGGCGGTAGCGGATGGTGGCCGCGCCCTGCACCACGCCGCCCCCCTTGGCGCGGATGTGCGACAGCAAGCCCGTGCGCTGGTAGAAGTCGATGCGGGCGAAGTCCACCTCCCGCAGGTAGCGCGCGTTGTTCATGTGGTACAGCAGCACGTCGATGTCCGACGTCAGGCAGATCCCTGTGGGCAACACACCGTAAAGTCACAACGTCACACCCGCCACACCGTTAGCGCCGTCGGGCTGTCTCTCTCGCACTCGCGCGGCGTGCCGTAGGGCTCGCAGGGGTGCGAGAGAGACAGAGCGACGAGGCGCTGTTGAATCAGGCGACAGGCTTTGTCTCAGTGACAGGACGCGCCGCCGGATTTGCTCTAGCCATTCACACCCGTCGGACAAGTATTATCCAACTTTCGACGTTGTCCAGGAACACACAGCGGTCTGCCGTGTCACTGTTTGGTCTCGATCAGAAAAGGGACGCTCTGGCGTCAGGGAGGGTGAGCGAGAGGGGGAGGGGGATGGTTGCAGGGCAAGTGGCCTACCTACGAGGCTCGGGTGCTCGTCTATCTCAGAAGCACTCGCCACAGCGCTTCCGAAGAAGGCAGGGCGGGTCGAAGCCCGAAGCACATTCACCACGTGCAGACCCGTGTGGATACTGTCCAGCCAATCACAGCCAAGCGGACAAGGAAGATCGCGTGAGGCACGGCGTTCCAGCTTGTCGACGTTTCCCATTTCCATCATTCAATCTCATCGGGTTGGGAGGACGTCGCCTTGCCGGCATGCATATGGTTGCAGGCCGATGCGACCCAGGCCGTGGAGCCGTGATTGGGGTGTCATTAGGTGCGCAATGCACGGGGGAAAAGGGGGGGGGGCGTCATGTCCTGGGGGACACGTGGAGCCGACGACGGTGACCTGTCCTCACGCACACACACACAGGCAAGGATTGCATCACTGCTGCAATCAGGACGAGAGAGAAGAACCTGCATCTGGGGCGAAGACGATCTTCCTGTCAAGGTTGAACACCTCTTTTTTTCTTTCTGTTGTAGAAAAAAAGAGATATGTATATATGCAGGCGGAGTCGCAGTCGAAGATAATTTTCCAGTGCACGCGAATCGTGTCGCGTGCCGGCAGCGGTCCGCGCGATCCTGCCGCTCCAGCGACTCAACAGTTTTCTCGAAGGTACGTGGTGATACAAAGAGCAAGAAATGAAAAAAATAGCACTTTTGCCCAAGAAAAAAGTGAGAACTCACAAAATGGGTTTTACATTTTTTCGTTTGTATATATGGCTCACTTCTGCCTTAAAAGCTGGAGTTGTTTTTTTTTTTTCGTTTTGTTTCTAGCAGTGTAGTGTTACTTTGTTGTCGTCCCCCGTGCAATTTTCATCACCGCACCGACGTGACTGACGCGCAACGTATCGGTAGGGGACAATAACAAAGGCCCGCTGGCTGCAGGCACTGCCGGGCACTGCCGCACAGTGGGCCAGAAGGCCGGTGGAGGCGGCCAAAATTCCAGACGCGTTTTGAGCTCCAGAATCGCTGAATGCGACTCGAATCGAACGTGTGACCCCACCAATGGATTGCTCTCCGAACGAGGAGTCCGTTGGTGGGGTTACACGTCCGGTTCCGAGTCCCTTAGCGACTCTGGAGCTCAAAACGTGTTGAGAGTTTTGTCCGCCTCCACCGGTCTTCTGGCCCACTGTGTGCCGGGCACTGCGGGGAGCTGCAGGACGTGATGCCCAGGACTCGTCCGTGCCTCGCGGCTCGTGCCCTCTCCTTCCTGCAGGACATGTCGCCTGCAGACGGAGACAGAGGCAGCACGCTGTGAGCACGCTGGCGAGGCTCCAGCAGTCCGGCGGAGTCCGGCGGAGTCCGCGGGTCGGAAGACGCTTTGTGGTTCTGTGAACGTGCCCGCCGCGCCCCGCCCCGCCGCGCCCCGCCCCGCACCCAACCTCTCGAGTGGAGTGACCACAAGCCGTGCGGTCGTCTCCGGGAGCACTGCGACTCCAACCACTGTTTCGGCAGGCTTCGGACGATGACAGTAGTTAGAGTACAATCGAGTAATCGATTTACCCAAAAATCGACCCGCTGGCCCTTGCTTCCCGCGTTCCCTTCGGACGGTCCGGCGGCGGCGGCGCTGTTCCTCCACGGCCCGTCTCGAGCGATCACTGTTTTTGTTTTCCTGGCTGGCCTGGCCTGGCCACGCGGAAACTACTGCGAATGACGATGGCGGCCCGGCGGAGTCTGGCCCAGCCTGGCCCGGCCTGGCCCGGCTAGCTTCATTCCATTCTAACGCCGCGGCCGCGACGCTCGCGCCGAGATCGGGACCGGTCCCCATGCCTCCCCCTTTCCCTGCGCCCACCACGCCCCGCCCCGCCCCGCCCCGCCCCGCCCCGCCACGCTCCACGTCAAGGCTAGCCAGGTGGCGGGGCGGGGCGGGGCGGGCGGGGCGGGGCGGGGCAGGCCGGTCCGCCGTGGAAGTTCGAGACTGAATCAATGGAGCGGTTCGCGCGTCGGAGAGTCCGAGGGCACAAACTTCGCCGTGAACTTGCAGTGGGGTGTCTCGTCCCGACGGCAGGCGGACTGCGGCGGCGAGCGTCGCGTGCATGCCTAGACGGCAGGCGCGCCAGGCCGGCGGCGCGGTGCGGCGCGGTGCGGCGCGGCTTGCCAGCGAAGAGGCTTTGACCTCCCCACCAGTACAGTGTCATTACCAAGCCAGCGGCCTAGCTGGCATTACCACGCTGCTAGCGGTCAGGGCGGTCCAGGCCGCGCTTCTCGCTTCCCGATCGCAGGACTCCCGATTCCGGCCGGTGCTCCGTCTCTCTCGCACCCATGCGGAGCCCTGCCGAGACCTGCCGAGCGGCCCGTGCGTGCGAGAGAGAGGGAGCACGCGTGTGGCAAGTGGCCCATGACTGCCCATGACGCACGCGCTGCTTTTCGCAGGCTGGTTCCGAGGGCGCGTCCCTCTCGCACCCATGCGGGACGCGCTGTGAGTGTGAGAGAGAGAGAGAGAGAGAGAGAGAGAGAGAGAGAGAGAGAGAGAGAGAGAGAGAGAGAGAGAGAGAGAGACGTGCTGATCGGAATAAGCGTGCCGGGAGCAACGGTCCCGGGCCGGGCCGGGCCGGGCCGGGCCCCTGTCGTGGCGAGGCTAGGCACCCAGGCGGCGCGGCGGCGCGGCGGTGCTGCCTACCGGGCGGCCCGCAGGCGGCAGCGAGGCAGCGCGCCGTTGGTAAACAAGCTCGCCGTTGGAGGAAAACACGGACAAGGCTCGGCAAAAAGAATACGAGCGGCGCGGCGAGGCGGCCAGGCAGCCAGGCGCATGCAAGCGAGATGCGTGTGTCTTTGGAATTTTCCGCGCCGGCTTCGGGCCTCGTTCGGGCCCAGTTCGGGACCTGCTCGGGACCTGCTCGGGCCGTGTCCGGCGTTGAACGCGCGATCACGGAGTTCCCCCCCCCCCCCTCCTCCTCCTCCTCCCGAACTAGCCCGGCTACGCGGCTACGCGGCCCCGCCGTACCTGCTCGCATCACAGCGATGCGTGTGACTACGAGCGAGCGCGCGGCCGCACGCATCCGTCTCTCTCGCACCCGCACGGCGCGCGCAACGAGTGCGAGAGAGACGGTGCGACTCTTCTAAATGGCTCGGCAGAGCGGGGCGGGGCGGGGCGGGGCGGGGCGGGGCGGGGCGGGTCCGTGTGGGACCGAATGAAGGCAAGCCGGGCCAAGGCGGCCAAAGGCGGCTCGAGGGGAGCGGCATCGAACATCAGCTGGAGGCGCCTGGAGGAACGGAGCGACGGGGAAGCGACAAATGCTGCAAACGTATAAAGCGCGGAAAAAATAGGGGCCCGTGTCGTGCTCTGTCGCAGAAAAGGTTCTTGAGTTCCCGAGAACAGCGCTGGCGCTGACACCGAAGTTCGGGCTGTGAACTTTTGCGTGCGGTCCAATTTTCAGGCGTCTTATTCTTCGTCAAATCATTTCGGGAGAGTAGAGAGCACAGAGACTAAGACACACACAGACAAGTGTTTTTCCGTTACAAGTGAGTAAGCGATCGTCGAGACGCGAAGAAAAAAAGGCGAGAAGAAGTAAGGAAGTGACAGCGCCTGGCGGAAGAGGCCTTTTGCAGCCAGTGAAACCCCGCGGATTTCAAAAAGGAGCAGACGTGTCAAGGCCTTGTGCGCGGCCAAATTCGCGCTCGGATCTCGTTGGAACAAACCGCGGGTCTCCACGTCCTCCTTGTGGAACCTGCTTCCATTTCATCACGCCACTCTACGCCGCGGGCGGCGGGGGCGGCGGGGCCTGCGAAATATGACGCATCGAACGGGACGGGGCCTTCTGCCTCCGTCGCGAACCTTCTCCTCGACGCGATGGACGTCTCGCTGCTGGAGCCGGCGGCAGGCACACACACACACACACACACACACACACACACACACACACACACACACACACACACACACACACACACTACAGCTAATTAAGTATGTGCTCCATGCCCCTGCCGGTACGCACTGCACGTTAGCCGGCGCTTATTCGCAGTCCGGGCCTCTATTTGCAGCGCGTCCCCGTGCAGACTGCGTGCGCGGCGCGGCGTGCTCGCCGGGCTCAACAGTGCCCTCGTCGCCCTGTCTCTCTCGCACTCGAGGGGCGTGCCGGCGTGCCGCGCAGGTGCGAGAGAGACAGGGCGTCGACGCGTCGCTGTCGGAGTCGGCCCGCAGCGTCGCCCCCTCGGACCGCCGTGCCGCGCCCGGGTCGCAACGAGCACGTCCTTTCTTCCGCGTCCGTCACGCCAGCCACGCCACGCGACGCCACGCCACGCCACGCCACGCCACGCCCGGCGCTTGATATTCTCCCGGCAGCCAGGCAGCCAGGCATCCCACAGGACCATCCACGCTGCGTGCTCAGTGGTCTGTACTGCGGGGTAGGCCTACCCGCTGTACAGCACACGGCTGCCTTCCCATAAAGTGTGCCATTTTCCGGAGGGCATTTCTGCACCACCGCCTAAAGGTGGCTCAAATGGATCACTCCTGTTCAAAATGACGCCTTTCGACGCCAAAACGGCACCGAAAGTGCCCTGAACTTGACCATGCTGGAGTCACGTTACACTGACCCGTTTGTGCTCTGCTCGCGGGGCCTGGCCTGGGCTAGCGGTTCGAACGGCTCACCCCACTCACTTCCCCGATCGCAGCCCAGCGTCCGTCCGGCCCGTGCTAACTCGCGCCAACCCGAGTCCGGCGCTCCGGGCCTCCGGGCGATCGTCCCTGATCCGGCCGCATCTACTAGAAGTCCGCTTGGCTCCGGTTGGAAAGTTTTTGGCAAAGAACCGGTCGGCGCGCAGTCTGCGCGTTGCGGCGCGGCGCGCTGTCCCAGTCGGGGACATGGTCCCCAGCCCGGCCCGGCCCGGCGGCCTGTTTTTAAACCCCCTGCAATATTTGCGCTGGCGTCCCTTGCCTTTGCGCGGCTTTCTTTTGTTATTCGTGCGCGACGCGAGGCGGCAAGGCGAGCCCTCGGCGGGCGCGGCCAGCACACTGGAGGCGAGCCTGGAGGTCGACTCCGTCGCCGACTCCCGATTCCCGACCTCCGCCACCAGCCAGAATGCACCGGCCGGGGAGGTACTTTAGGCTGCAAAAGCGGTCCAGCCCGGAGTCTTTTGTTTTCAAAGCTAACTGCCCGTTTCTCAAGTGATGAACGGTTTTTTTTTAAGCCACGGCCTTTTCCACACGCAAAACCCACTATGTTGTCCTTTCGATGTCACTTCAATCAAAATTTGGAGAAAAATAAGGAGTAATGTTGAAATTTATTTCACCGCCCCGCACTGTCATTCCACCGCTTTGTGACCTCACGTGTTTTCCTTGGGATTGATTTTAATTAAACAAACATTCCATTCTGTCGTCATTTAGATTCGAGATCCGCGGCGCGGCGGTGACGTGGCGGACGAGCCACTGTGACGCAAACCTTTCGGTGACGCGGACGCACGCCGTGTCCCGACGCACTGTGAAGTCTGTGTCAGTGGGCAAGCAAAGGATTGTTCGCGAACATAATTGGCGGAAAAAGGGACTGCCGCGATTTGGGTTCGTAGAATTTTCCTCGTCTCTTGCTAAGATCCCAACCTCATTGGAGCAACCCAGTTTGCTGGGAGTCGATGCTACACACCTTTGACGCTGAGGGTGTCCAGGATGTGCTTCTTCTTCTTGCAGAACAGCCCCACGACGACGGTGAGCAGGGACCTCGTGAAGTAGTGCAGCTCGAACAGCAAGTGCAGCACGACGATGACGCCGAGCACCGCGATCACGATGTAGCACGGGGCGAGCATGCTGCGGACAGACAAGACGTCATTTTACTTTTCGCAGTGTGTCATCGATGGACATGCGTGACTGCGGGCCACTGCGGGCCACTGCGGGCCCGGGCCGGTGTCCCCCATCAGTCAATGGCCCCTTCATCGAGTCAAACGGTTTCAGCAGTTTGCTCAAGCTGGTTCTGGGGAAAGGCTTGCAAATTAACGGGGTGTACACGAAGCGAGACACTTGTGTCGACTGGAAGAGAAAGTCAATATAATCTTATCGCCATTCTAGGACCAGCGTCTGCAAAGCTTTCCACTTCTTTCCACGCTGCTGAAGTGCGAGTGCTGATCAAGGCGAGTGAGTGCATCTGCACACATTGGTGCTACCAGGGAGGGGTCCGAGCCAAAATTCTTAAGCTCCCGCATGCGGCATTTCGATGCTGCTCTACCTCAAACGAGGCGCAGAGTTTATTCCCTGACATTCAAAGAGCTGGAAGGGGTGAGGACAGTGAAGAGGAGGCATGGCAACGGGGGACGAGAATACTGCGAATACTTCACAAGGGGGGCGCAAAAGTAATTTCAGGTTGAATTTTTTTTTCGACAACGGGGAGTGTTTCTTTTTGTTCCTCGCGATGAGGTGGATCGAAAGCGAAAATCATGAAACCAGGTGGAGGGCGCCCCCTCCCCCTTCCCTGCCGGGCACTCTGCTGGCCAGGGGATGGGGTGCTTAGAGCTTTGACTTTTCCGGTAGTGGCGTCAAGGTTGGAAACGGGGAGGGGGGTTGCTCTTCACCGCTGGCGGCGTCTCCTGGGACGTGGACACTGCGCGAACAATCTGCGGTTTTCAGTTTTGATCCCGCTTTTTCGGTTGAAATCGGTTGAGAGCCGTCCAGCTGTGGCACAGCGAAGGCGGAGGGACTCCCGAAACGGGTTCGCACGCCGAGCGAGCCGAGCGGGGCGGCCGAGTCAGGCAGACACTCAAGGCTGCGGCAGGACGGCGGCGAGACCAAGAGGCGGAGTCGCGTGCTGAATCGAAAGCACGCCGTTTCATTACCTTACGTTACGGCCGGTATGCAGGCGCGGCTCGTTTCCAGTGTCTGTCCGCCACGCCAGCCGCACGCGGGCGAGGTTCAGAGCCCAGTGCCCTCCCCCCCCCCAACCCCCTTCCTCCTGCCAATCCAAACGCCGAGTCTGACTTTTGGGCGTGGGAAGGCGGCAGTGGAAGACGACTTGAGTCGATGTCGTGCGTGCTGAGCGCCGAGAAGCATGGTGCTTACGCTCTTTCTCGTTCGACAAAAAACAACAAAAGCACGAAGGCCGGCAGTGGCTCAGCGGGGCGGTTTTCTAACCAGAGTGACTGTCTGCCCGGCTACGGTCCCACCCCTATCCCACCCCTATCCCACGGCCGCGACAAAGGATGAGTCACTCACATCGAGGGATCCCCCGGCGGGGCTTTAAAATTCTCCTCGAGAGACTTGTCTAGGGAAACGTCGTCGGCCTGCGGATCGTGTGGGCATCGGCATTCAGGCATGACGCCCCGCGTCGCCCCGTCTCTCTCGCTCCCGCAGCCCCACCAGTTGGAGAGAGACGGGGCGACGGTTCGGAATGACTTTGCTCCCCCACGCGTCGGTCAATAATTCCCTTTTTTACCGGAGTCACCTTCGGAGACGACGCTGTACATAGCGGCAGGACAAGAACACACACTGCCGAACATGTCGGGGCATACATACGTACAAACTAATTTACTTTGTTATTCGAAGAAATAGTTCGTAAATTACGAAGTATTTTCTTTGTAAGCTTATGTATGCTCAAAATAACAAACAGTTCTAACAAACTGCTTTGCTTTGTACGGTTTTGTAAGGTTTTCTTAGTGTGACTAGTTGAAATGAAGAGTCAGCACGACTTGATGTGATGGAGGTTGGAACTTGGTCAAAGAGCCAAACCGCAAGAAATCCGCGAGTACACCGCAGCATGGGCGTCGTACCGAGAAAACATGGCAACAAGTGTGCGACTGCGACCGTTTACTCTTCACTGCATCCGGGGCCACGGTAGTTACTTTTTTACTGCATTTTTCCTTTGCGCGACTGTTGATGGGCAATTGTGATAAACACCACAAACAACTATAGAATTTCACGGGTTATTTTTTTTTTTCAAGCAGAAAAAAAACTCATTTCGGATTTGCATGCTTTAGTATTTAAAGCTTCGCCAGCCGTATTACAAACAAAATGCATTTATGTTTTGTGAAAATGTGCCAACGCTATTTTGAATAACGCCAGCAAGCCGCTGCTGGCCGCACTTTTTTTTTTAACTCTGCTGGCAAAACGACTTTATGCTGCCGATGCTTGGGGCCGGCCGCTCAAGCAGCGAGGCCTCGCGAGGGCAGTATGCAGCGATAAGCGTGGCCGCCCCTCGAGGTCGACTCAAGGTTTTCTCGAGGTCGCTGGGAGGTAGGCAACCCCGGCGTCCAACACGGCTGGCACGGCACGGCCGGCGCGGCACGGCCTGCACGCACGCGGGCGCTGGCTGACGCGGCCGGCCGAGCGGACAGCCCGCCCCACACTCTTAAACTTTCCACTCAGCTTGTTTCCTTCGCAACGCGGCAAGTTTCTAAGTATTCAATTTGAGATGATCGGCAGCCACCGCAAAAGTCAAAGTCATCATCCCGCCCGGTGGGGCCCGCCAGAGTCTGTGGCTTCCTGCCTTCCGGGGCGGAGCGGGGCGGAGCGGGGCGGGGCCGCCACACCGATTCCGAGATTAGCTTTTCGTCGCTCTGTCTCTCTCGCCCTCAAGCGGGACGCCCCACGAGCGCGACGGGGACACAACCCCCTCGCCCCCGCCATGCTCGGCGGCGTCCTCGACAGCCGAACGCTTTCAGGGTAATGGCGTTATCGCCACATCACGGCGTGTCGTCGCTCTGTCTCTCTCGCACTCGCGGGCCGCGCCGTCGGGGTGCGAGGGAGACCGAGAGGGAGACAGGGTGGCGGCGGTCCCTTTGTTTTCGGGGAGGGAAGCGAGCCGTGAGGCCGCAGACATCGGCGTGACGTCACCGTTTGCCCTGCTGCCCTACCGTTGCCCCCGCCCCCCGGGCCGCCGCCCCTCGCCCTTGGGTTTAAGGGTCGCAGGAATTTCCCGGGAGAGGGCGTGGCTAGCAAGACGGCAAGGCGGGGTGGCGTGCCGAGTGTGTGTGTTTACAGCAGAGCGATTCGCGTCGCTCTGTCTCTCTCGCACCCCTGCGGGCCCTGCGCCGCCGCCGTGAGTGCGAGAGAGACAGCACGACGAGAGGGCCGCGGCCGGCTCGGCAAACCGCAGGGGTTGCGGTGCAGCCTGCACCGCAAGTTGGAGCACTCGCCCCGTTTTATTTCCCGCCTTGTTTGACCACCGGTGTGCCCCGGACACGTGTTGGTCGGGCGAGGGCCTACACTGTCAGCCTGCCACCGGCTTGGGGGTCAAGATGAAACGCAGTGGCGTGAACACGCGCGTGCAAAGCAAACGCTGTGCCATTCCGGACAGCCGACCAGGAGAACAGAGGCAAAAGAATGTGTTGAAACAATCATCCGCACGTGGAAGCTTGAATGCATTAGCACTCTAGGCGGCCCACGCCCTCACGCGCGGGGCACTCTCCTTAGCCAATGATTGCTGTTCCGAATAATCTTCCGACTTTTGTCGCGACCAATTCTGTCCGAAAAAAAAGAAGTTATCCTCAATTTTGCCGACTGACTATTCATGCGGCTTAGGGAGCAGGCACGTATTTGTCTGCATTTGGCTGTGCTGCGCCTCGGTTTCAGCCACTGGCCAGGACATTACCCGCCGTTTGGACTTGCAAATTTGTGATATTATTCAGGCATTCTTCGGTAATTGTTCACTGATCGGCAGCCGTGTGCTGTTTAACGCAAACCTTGGTGTCCGGAAGTTGAGCGCCAAAGACACGGCCCAGTCTCGTTGTGATACAAGACCGCGTCAGGAGGGCGATCATGGATGAAAAACGATTCCAACAAAAACACGACCTCGCTTGCCTTTGAATGCCCCCTCCGCAATTCATTTATGGAACAGCGCCTTGCTTCGACGCGCGAGCGGACTTCACTGCGTACCGAAGTAGTACAGCACGTATGTTGCAGAAGACCCACGTGGGGGCGCATTCGGCGCGTGCAAGTTGTTTCAAGAAATTGCTTTGATTGAAAGAGGTGTCTTGCGGCTCGTAAAGAGATGAGTGAACACACTGTCCTGATGACATCCTCAAATGCAGCTGGGCTCGGTCCGGCTCCCGCTGGACTTGCTTGTTTGCGTTGAGCGCACGGCCACCGCGATCTGCCTCTCTCGCACCCTCACGGGACGCGCTATGGGTGCGAGAGAGACAGGAAGCTGCGCTGCTTGGCGCCGACCAGTCGGCCAGCCGGCTGGCACACTGCTTGGCGCCGGGGCGGCCGGGTCGGCCGGGGGTCATCGGGGTTAGGGTTGGCGGTGGTTGGCGGCCAGTTGCGACACGAGTGCGGCGAGGCTCCTCGAACCACTTGAAGGGCTTCTGCCGCCCTTTGTGGACAGGCACCGCCCGCCCAGCGGCGCCCCGTCGCTCTGTCTCTCTCGCACCCCTAGGGGCCTAGGGGACGCCCCGCGAGTGCGAGAGAGACAGAGCGAGTCAACCAGCAGGATTGACCGGCATTCTCCCCTATCATCCCATAGCAACCGCCGGCAACCGCCCTCTCAGGGTCGGCCTCTCCATTTAGCATTCATTACGATTAGCGAAAACCGAGTTAGCAGTTCTATCTATGTAAAATCTATGACAGTAGCTGTTTTTTTTTTATGACTTTGGGCCTGGAAAGACCATTCTTTTTTATGCCCTACCTCGGAAACGCTTTAACCACAGCTAGTTTGGAAGCAATAGTCTCGCAAATTTGGGCAAAACCAGAATATTGGGCCATTTAGGCCTACTTAACTTAAAATATGAACGAGAGATTCACTGTGCCCTTTCGTGATGGTGGTTCGGTTTGACTGTCGGCGTGATACCGGTTTTCGCACAGGCCATCGAGCCGGGTTTTGAGTGTTTAGTCTCGCCCGACCCGCAGCCTGTGTTCTTGACTACGTTTGGCCAGCCGGGCGCGGTTTGCTGACTAGGCGGCGGGGCCGCCCGTCCACCCGACGGACGCAGCACAAGTGCCGCGGAGCGTCCAGATTCTTGCTGAGCTGTGGGTGCCGGCTGCGAAAACCGGCGAATGCGAGCAAGGTGGACTGAGCCGGGTCGGGGGGATGGGATCGACTTGGCTCAAACCGAAAAGCCGGTGATCGACCTCCAGGCCAGCGGTTCACAACCTTGGGGTCGCGACCCCAAATGGGGTCGCGAAAAAAATTCGGAGGGTCGCGGCGAGGTGGTTGGGGTCGTCTGGGGTCGCGGCTGTTTTCCGGCCGGCAGAATTGTTCAAAACGGTCGAAAATGCCTTTGAAAACTCGTGTTTTAGGCCGACTTTAAGCAGCAACGGCGTCTGATCCGAGGCGGTATATCGTCCTCCCTCAGCGGGCATTTGGTCTTTGGACCTTCCTTTAGCATGCCTTTGTTACGGAGTGCGAATATCGGCCTTAGTTTGGGAGCAGTATTGTCTCAAAGTTGATGAAAACAGTATAAAATGCCTTTGAATGCCATTTTGATCCACTTTGAGACAATACTGCTCCCAAACTAAGGCCGATAATCGCACTCCGTAACAAAGGCATGTTAAAGGAAGGTCCAAAGACCAAATGCCCGTTGAGGGAGGACGAGATACCACCTCGGATCAGACGCAAAGGCTGCTTAAAGTCGGCCCAAAACACGATTTTTCAAAGACATTTGTGGCCGTTTTGATCAACTTTGCGGCAATACTGCTCCCAAACTAAGGTGGATTATCGCACTTTGTATCAAAGGCATGCTAAAGGAGGGGTCGCGTGGGGTCGCGAAATTTTTCCTGGGGGTCGCGGAAATTTTTTGTATCAAATTTGGGGTCGCGAACCGAAAAAGTTTGGGAACCGCTGACCCAGCAGGACCATACGCTGCCTTGGAGCAAGATCGAGAACCGTCCAAAAACAAATAAACGCCGCGCCCGATGGCCGCAAAAAGACGAGAGCAGGCCGAGACTCAGTCTCTGTCGCACTCCCCGCGGCGCCCCGGCCCCGGGGATGAGAGCGAGAGAGACAGAGCGTGGAATCGGTCAGCTGGGTCATTCGAGGAGCCGGCTCGGCCGCTGTCCCCTTACTCCGAACTCAGCGTACCTGGCAGGCCTGTCGCTAGTGAGTCACTGCATCCAGTCTTCCAGTGTCTTCCAGTCTTCGAGTCTTGCTCCCGGCCCGCGAGGCGAGGCGCGAGGCTGGGATGGCACTGGGCACCACGACGGCGTGGTCGGCGTCGTCCACGTCGGTGAAGCCTCTCGCGAAGCAGCACGCAGACGCACTGCCGGTGCCGGACCGTGCCGGACCTTGCCGCCTTGCCGCTAGCCGGCCGCGTCGTCTGCTTGGCCGATTCCTTGCCGAGTCCTGGCGGAGTCCTGGCCGTGAGGCGCCGAGAGCCTTGCCGTGAGGCGGGACGCGACGCGGACGCACCACTTTTGTCCAGAAGCAGATGCAGACTGAGGCCCGGCCCGGCCGGCCAGCCTGCCCCACCACGCCGCCCCCCACCGCCCCCCACCGCCCCCCACCGCCCCCCACCACGCCGCCTTCCGCAACGACGGCCGCGCCACCGTCCCAAACCGACTGGGGGGCCTCGAACGCGAGGCGTCAGGGGCGCCCCCTCCCCCCAGCTCGATGCCGGCCACAGCTGATCCACCCCCTGCAGCCCCTGCTCACTGCGCCACTGCCCCCTCCAGCGGCTCTGCAGCTCAACAATGGTTAGTCACCGAGCTGGTTCCGAGCGGGCCGTCCTCTCTCTCTCTCTCGCACTCACGGGACGTGCCCCATGAGTGCGAGAGAGAGAGAGAGAGAGAGAGAGAGAGAGAGAGGGGAGAGAGAGAGAGAGAGAGACTGCTCGCTCGTGGGAATCAGTCGGCATGATCGGTGCGCGGCCCGCAATGATTTCCCCGTCCACGTCCATCAGGTGGCGCTGTGCCGTGCTTTATTCAGTGGCGTGCCGTCCTGGCCGTCCAGGCCGTCTTGCCGTTCGGGCGGCACTGCTTTACCAGTCAGCCCGGAACACGCGCAAACACGCGTCGACACGCCAAAACGAACCGCCACCGCCCCCTGCCAGTTTTCGCAGGGCGCGACGACGTGCCGCTGCATGGAATTTTCATGGGAACGGTCGCCGTTTCGCATGAAATAGGCACGCCGATGGATGAATAAATTCGAACGACACAGAATTTCAAAGCCGCGCGAACGAACGGTCTCGGAATCGCATCTTCATCTAAGAACATTTCATTCGCAGTGAATTCAATCCGCGGATATATTTTTGCTTTTTGGCGATAAGTATGAAATCGCAGCCGAAACGAGACAACCGTCTTCCTTGACAATACAATGGCGTGCGCCTGTCGGGCGGCCAGTGGTGGACACAGGCGGAAAAGTAGGCATGATGGGACGCCGGATCGGTTTAGTCTGGTGTGGGAGAAATCTGGCTGGGGCCATTGGAAGCGGCTGTTGCTGCGAATGGCGTCTGGACTGCGAGACGATGGGCCACGCCACACTGTGATACGCCACACTGTGATTGCCACACCTACGCGGCCTTGCCGTGGGTTCGTTCCAGCGGCTCGATACGTGTGTTGAGGGCGCTTAGGGGGCATGCATGAATTACCGGGCGACGTCGTTAGAGGGAAGGGTAAGGTCACCACCTTGGCATTGGCAGTGAGAGGCAGGGGTGGGGGGGAGAGAGAAGTCAGTCCACCGGCGCCCCTCGTCGACTTGGCTCAAGTTCCTTTTGGCAGGCAGCCTTATCTGATTTTTAACCCCGTCTTTCATGAAACCTTTTTTCTAATTTGTGGTATAATCAAACCCTAAAACATTGAGCAAGCGTGCGCGCCAGGAAAGGTAAAAATTTTCAGTGTTTTTTCTCGGATATATTCTTTTGCTGGCTGCTCCTCTGCCGTGCACTGGCGCCGTTTGGCGGGAGCACGTACTTACACTCCCCCGCGTCGTTTTCCGACTCGGCGCGTCGCGGCCGCCCGGCCCGAGGCCCAGCCGCCCCGGAAGTGAACAAGACACGGAGAGCGCGCGGCTAAAACGCCCTCCCCCCTCCCCCTGTGTGCTGAGGGCTGGGGCAGGCTGAGGGCCGTGCCCTGGCCGTGCCCTGGCCCTGCCCTGTTGGCCCGGTGGTCGGGGATGATCCGAGCCCGGCCGAGGCGAGCAAGAGCCGACAAGCCGCCCCCTCTCTCTCTCTCTCTCTCTCTCTCGCACTGGCGGGGGGTTCCCGCAGGCCCCCGTGTGCGTGCGAGAGAGACAGAGCGAGGCGGGGGCAGCAGCTGGGTGTCGCCTCCCGTATTGATCCAGCGCGGTGTTGCGGGCGTGGTGCGAGCGTGCAGGGAGCGTGCAGGGAGCGTGCAAGGGCGTGCGCGGGCAAGGTCAAGAGCGTCGGGAGCGTGGCCGGGAGCGTGGCGGAGTGGCCGGCGAGTGCACGACGCCATCCTGGACGTCCGCGTCGACGTCCCCCGACGGGACGAGAAACTCACTCAGGGGACGGCGGAGTGTTTGCTGAAGGGAACTTTGCGGGTGTGTACCAACAACTTTCGGGTGGGCATCCCTGGGCGCAAACTACACAGTAAACCGGCTTAAGGAGAGGGAGGGAACAGCCCCATGGACTCGCAACAAGACATTGGACAAAGCCGACTTTTTGATCAAATTTTTGCCACTGTCGCGTATTTGTACGAGTATCCCTTGTAGTTATACCCCCCCCCCCCATGATCCCACCTCTCCCTGTGCCCTTCCCTTCTGAAGTTCTTGAGAATGTAAGTGAAGTCCGCGAGGTTCGCTGGCCAGCGAGCACGGAGGCACTAGCGCCTGTGAAGTGGCGGGTAGGCAACGCGCCCCACCTGTCTGCCCAGCAGGCTGGCCTACCCTGTGTCTCGCAGGGGCCCATCCTCCATCCTCCTCGCAGTGCATTAGGCTGTTGGCGCCATCCGCTGCGATGTTCAAACAGCTCAACCGGAGCCAGAGCCGAGTTCGAAAACAGGCGGTGCCGCGCTATCCTCCTGCGAGCAGCGCAGGAGGAAATTTGGTCGAGAGAGTGCAAGCTAAGTGTCGTCCAAATAAGTACAGTGCGTCGGCGTTGACTTTACTTAAACAGAACTTAGCTTGTCGCCTCCGCAGAGGCGTGAGCGGAGACGGGTGCCTCTGCAACGTGCGTGCCCACTGGTGCCCACCTGCCAGGCCTGACGCGCGGTTCGCGTCGCGGGGTATCGCCGCAGCGCCACTCCGCGCTCTGGAATGACGTAAGCGCCGACGGCCGGGGTATTCGCGGCCGGCGTCCGCGCGCGGGGTCTCGCCGGCACCGCCAGCAACGCCAGCAGTCGGTGCACTCGAAACTCATTATCAGGTGTTTTGCTCGAAAGATCGGCAAAGTTTGCAGCCCTGCACGGCCGCCGGATTTTCCTTGACGACTCATTGCTGCTGCTCTGTCGCTCTGTCTCTCTCACTCCTAAGGGACGCCCCACGAGTGCGAGAGAGACAGAGCGATGAGAGTAACTGTTCGGACGCAGCCCGCAACTCGATACGAGGCTTTGAATCGAATTGGGTGCGTCGCGTGGTTGAGTCAAGAATGTGGCGCCTCGTCCGTGGACTCCGTGGCCACGCCACTGCATAGCGCTGCGCCCGTCGGTGCCTCGGAGTCACGGTCACAGTGGACGTCGTGGACGTCGTGGGCGGCTGGCAGCTTGGAGGCAGAGTCAGTGTAGCGGCAGTTCTCCAGCGATGAGAATGCCGAGCCGAGAGGCCAGCCGACAGACCAGTGTGCACGCGTGTTGTTCGGCAGCCAGTCTGCCACTCGTCGCCTGGCCTCAGCCTTTGCCTCGGCCCCCAGCGCACCACCTGCCAATCATAGCGTCTCGCTCCAACCACCGGGAATAGCATGTGAGTCATCTGGAGCACACCAAATTGAAATGCAAGTGAAGTGGTCTAAGCTTTCAATGACCTGAAATAAACGTCACGAAAGAGCGGTCCATGGTAGAGCTGTTTGTTGGGAAAATAAGTTGTTCTCGTAGCCCCTCTGTCATTGTCCTTCAATTTTGCCTTCCATTGTGCCACTGATCTTCAGCTTTTGGATCAACAAATACTGATGCGGTCATCGAATCAAAGACTCGTCCCGTCTCGTCGTATTTTACGGACGGTGACGCATCGTCTCGGGTGTCCCTCGGTTTGCGCGGGAAGCGTGCCGGCGTCGCTACTCCACGCTCGAGCGCGGCAGCGCCTGCGTCGTCGCTACCCCCCGTGTAGGGAGACTCCGCGTCGCTGCGGCCGGCCAGCTGACCGATTCCGGAGAGTCGCTCTGTCGCACTGCACTCCGTGGGCCGTTGCCTGGGGGTGCGAGAGAGACAGAGGGACCGCACGCACAACTGGTGCGGGAAGCCAGCCGGCAAGCGGCGAGGCGGTGGCAAGAAGTGCGACGGTCCGAGTGACGCGAGTAACGGTGGCGTGGCAAGGTAGTTGTTGGTCGGCGCGGTCCCGGCCGCACGCTGCACGGGGATGTTCGCGCGAAGACGGAACTTACAAGGTGCGCCCCCACCCCGTCCCAAAGAAAAGAAACCCGACCACGCGCGAGGCCCTGCACTGTTAGGGCATTTTTCCCTCGTCGGCCCTTCCGCGCTTTCGGGCCGGCAGGCCGTATCGCAGTGCCGGCAGATACACAAGTCCCTATTTTCTTCTTTGCCGCCTTGCTGCGTACATATTCCATTTTGCAAAGCCGCCCGTGATTTACACAGAGCGTGGTAGTCCACTAGCAGGACGGGGAAGGGGAAGGGGTGAGGGGGAGGCCGATGATGTCGCCGTGAAGGGGGGCGGGGGCGGGGGAACACCGGGCTCACACTGGCCCATAAAGTGTTGTTTATTCCCTTACTTTAGCTATCTAATATCGTTTGTGTCTCCACTGAAGACTCGGGCGAGTGGGGGAAGGGAAAGGGGTGAGCGAGGTGAACAAGAAAATGGACGAGGGCAGTGGGGTGCGGCGGTGGAGGCTGTGATGGTCGTGGAGGCCGTGGAGGCCGTGGAGGCCGTGGAGGCCGACGAACGACACGCCGCACCGCCGCACCGCCGGTTGGCCAAATGGAGCGCGCCGCCGTTTGACGCAAGAGCGGCCGTGCCGCGGTGCGGTGCGGTGCGGTGTGACCAGTGTGACGCGCTCCAGGTGGGTGTGGCCGGGCGTGCCGATGGCTGCCGATGATGCCTGGCATCACAGACATTGCCGCCATGCTAATGGGGGCGCTCGGCCAGACGACCGCGCCAACGCTCTCGCTCGAATCCGAAGGATCGTTTCGCTCTGTTTCTCTCGCTCCCCTACGGGGCGCCCCGTGAGTGTGACAGAGACAACGTCAAAGCGGTCCTCCTGTACCGGGCGGCTGTTGGTGTGAAGTATTTGGACCGTGCCCGTTGGTTCGCGCGCTCATTTCGCTCCACAGTGCCCACGACCGTGCACGAGTAAGTGTATTTGCCGGAGGGACCTGAACGGGGTCACCACCACACTGTGGCGCGGCGTCGCTGCTCGGCCAGCTCGTCCTGCTTGTCTTGCTGTTCTGCGACATGGTCGCCAGTGCTTTCCAACTTGCATCAGCCAATGGCGGCAGTGCCACGTTGCCGGCCGGCTGCTCGAAGCGGCGGAGTGCGCGGAGTGGCCGCGGACGGGATGAGACAGGTGTCGTTGCAGGTGACAAGAATTGGTGCCCCCTCTCCCCCTCGCCCCGACGCGTCCCCGAGCCCTGCCCAGCCCTGCCGCGACATGTGGTGACACGCATTCGTACCGAGACACGCCCGGCAGCGACATGCAGCGCGTCTACGGGCCGCGAAGCAGCGCCAGCATCGCCAGCAGCGCGTCCTAGAGGAGTGCCGGGCAGTCTCCCTGTCTTGCAATCTCGCTGCCCGGGCGTCGAAGATGCTGCCACTCGTCCTCGCCGTCATGGTGGTCAAGCTGGTGCTGCTGAGTAGGGAGGTCGTGCTCAGTTTCCGCCAAGGCACTTAGCACGCCGAGAGCCTGGGCAAAGAAATTAATTCTCAAGTATAAGTGAGTAAGATATTTTTTCTTTTTTTTTGAGTCTATATCATTTCTCCTACCTAAATGTTCGCCTACCTGTCTATTTCGCCTACCTATATTTCGCCTACCTAATAAAAATATTGAATAAAAATATTCAATAAAATATTGCCATTTTTCGCCTACCTATAGTTCGCCTACCTAATAAAAAAATTAAATAAAAATATTCAACAAAAAAACGAAAAAATCGGCGGCAAAAAGTGGCAATACGAAAGTCTCAAGGAGACCCGCCGATCAGCTTCGGTGTTCTTATGGGAACCGGGCCTTCATCCGACGCTCCCTGCCGCGCAATTCGACAGATTAGTGGGTTCGTATTGGGCTGGCCCACCCGAAGTGCGCGCGGTTTCTGTGGTACAGTGAGAGTCCAGATTCAGAGGCCTTACCTCAGAGGGGTCACATTGGGTATTTGAACCCGCGACCCCGAGTGCCGAGTCTAGTCAACTCCTCTACCCTGACCGCTCAGCCACCGAACCAGCTTGTCGGCGGCGATGTCGCAACTCCTCTTGAGCTGCCGTTCGAGAAATCTGGTCCCGAAAAAATGGTACTTTGAGCGGTCTCGAACCCGGGACCTGCTGCTTCCCACATCATGCTCTTAACCACTGAGCCACCGGGACGCCATGGCACCCGCCCTGCCTGCGCTGGTACTCAATCTTCTCTGGATATACCTCCCCAAGCAATTGGTCGCCGAAAAAATTGTGTATACTACCGGTCCCGAACCCGGGACCTGCCACTTCCCACAACGTGCTCGTAACCGCTGAGCCACCGGGACGCCATGGCACCCGCCCTGCCTGCGCTGGTACTCAATCTTCTCTGGATATACCTCCCCAAGCAATTGGTCGCCGAAAAAATTGTGTATATAACCGGTCCCGAACCCGGGACCTGCCGCTTCCCACATCATGCTCTTAACCGCTGAGCTACCGGGACGCTATGGCACCCGCCTTGCCAGCGCTGGTACTTATTCCTCTCTGGATAGACCTCGTCAAGAAATCGGTTGCCTCTGCCGAAAAATATGCTCATGGCACTAGCCTCGAACCCGAGACCTGCCTGTCAGGAACGGAGCACTCTAACCACGGCGCTACCAGGTTGCTATGCACGCCACTAACCTAGCGCCAAACTTCAATAGCCACCCATCTTGCTTGATGCTGGACGAATAATAACTTCGGCGATGGGGTGAGCGCTGTGCGTAGCAACCAAGTAGCGCAGTGGTTAGAGTGCTGCGCTCCTGACTGGCAGGTCTCGGGTTCGAGACTAGTGCCATGACCATATTTTTCGGCAGAGGCAACCGACTTCTTGACAAGGTTTATTCGGAGAGGATTGAGTACCAGCGCTGGCAAGGCGGGTGCCATGGCGTCGCGGTGGCTCAGCGGTTAAGAGCATGATGTGGGAAGCGGCAGGTCCCGGGGTTTGGGACCGTTAGTATACACATTTTTTTTGGCGACCAATTGCTCGGGGAGGTATATCCAGAGAAGATTGAGTACCAGCGCAGGCAGGGCGGGTGCCATGGCGCCCCGGTGGCTCAGTGGCTAAGAGCATGATGTGGGGAAACAGCTGGTCCCGGGGTTTGGGACCGGTAATATACACAATTTTTTCGGCGACCAATTGCTTGGGGAGGTATATCCAGAGAAGATTGAGTACCAGCGCAGGCAGGGCGGGTGCCATGGCGTCTCGGTGGCTCAGTGGTTAAGAGCATGATGTGGGAAGCAGCAGGTCCCGGGTTCGAGACCGCTCAAAGTACCATTTTTTCGGGACCAGATTTCTCGAACGGCAGCTCAAGAGGAGTTGCGACATCGCCGCTGACAAGCTGGTTCGGTGGCTGAGCGGTCAGGGTAGAGGAGTTGACTAGACTCGGCACTCGGGGTCGCGGGTTCAAATACCCAATGTGACCCCTCTGAGGTAAGGCCTCTGAATCTGGACTCTCACTGTACCACAGAAACCGCGCGCACTTCGGGTGGGCCAGCCTAATACGAACCCACTAATCTGTCGAATTGCGCGGCAGGGAGCGTCGGATGAAGGCCCGGTTCCCATAAGAACACCGAAGCTGATCGGCGGGTCTCCTTGAGACTTTCGTATTGCCACTTTTTGCCGCCGATTTTTTCGTTTTTTATGTTGAATATTTTTATTTAATTTTTTTATTAGGTAGGCGAACTATAGGTAGGCGAAAAATGGCAATATTTTATTGAATATTTTTATTCAATATTTTTATTAGGTAGGCGAAATATAGGTAGGCGAAATAGACAGGTAGGCGAACATTTAGGTAGGAGAAATGAACAACTCCCATTTTTTTTTAAATCGACATAAACATGACAACAAATTTGATGAGCGGATTCGTTTGCACTTGAACTTACTCAGTGCATCTACTTCCGAAGCAGCACCGAGGTCAGGGACAATTTTATCACTGCTCTCTCTCTCTCTCTCTCTCTCTCTCTCTCTCTCTCTCTCTCTCTCTCTCTCTCTCTCTCTCTCTCTCTCTGTCTCTCTGTCTGTCCTGTTCACTGCGCTGCTCGGTCGACCCTGATAGCGGCACCGCCCATAGCGCGCCGTCAGGCCGACCAGCCGTTCGTAGCGTTCCAGTGCTCTCACAGCTGGCTGGCGCGGCGTGCTCGACGTAGGGGTCACGGCACCGAGTCACCGCGGTCACCGCGCCCTCCAGGACCCGGCCAGCGACATGCTCGCCCTGATGGTGGCAGTGGCCATCGTCGGCCTCGCCGGCCTCGCCGGGGCGTGAGTAAACCATGAAATTAGATTCAAACGCCGGACGCGTTTCGCGGGGCGTTTGTTTTCAACAGATTGCTTTGCCCGGCGTGCGTGTGAATGTCGTTGCTCACCACGAAGTGACTGCGGAGCGTGGAGCAGGCCCTCGTTCCCCAGATTTCAGCCGACGAAAGTCGTCCGCCAGAATTTGCGTTTAACCCAGTTAAAAACGGGAGCCGCAAGCACTGGCCGTGGCCGGCTGGTCGCCGGGCAGGCCAGGCGTTTGGCGGACAGTGTTTGCCGAATGGTCCAACGCGGCGGGGGCGAGGGCGGCCACGGCCACGGCGGCCACGTCGGCCACGGCCCCTCGTTAAAGGCGTTGGCCGTCGGCGCCCTCCACGAGGCCCTCAAGTAGCCGCCAGTCCAGCGCTCATCTGATTTGCAAATGGAGGAGCCCCTACCCTGCCCTACCCCCGTGTGTACCTTGCTGCCCTAATGCTGTACTGTCCCTAGGGAGCCCCCGCAGCCCCCGGCCGGTGGGGCTGGCGGGGCTGGCGAGCGCCCCTCCGTGAGGTACGCCGCTGGCGAGGTCCGGGGCCGCTGGGTGGAGGCGGAGCGTGGCGGCGCCGCCTTCGCCGCCTACCTGGGCGTCCCTTACGCCCGGCCGCCCATCGGACACCTGCGGTTCAAAGTGAGTGTCTTGGCCTCTTCTTGCACTGTTTACGGTGTGCGCGCCGCTCACCTTCGGGCCCTTCTGGCCCTCCTGGACGTCGCAGGCACCCAAGCGGCTGGACAAGCTGCCCGGGTCCGGGCCGCTGGATGCCGGCAGGGACCCGCCGCCCTGCGCGCAGATCAACATCCACAGCGCCGAGAAGGAGGTCGTCGGGCAGGAGGACTGCCTGTACCTCAACGTGTACGTGCCCGCGGTAGGTGGAACGGAACGCACCACCAGCATCGCCAGCGAAGCTCACCACCTCACCAGTAATCAGTGTGCTGACAATTTCCTCTATAATTAGCTGCTGATAGACTAGATTTCTTTCTTGTCTGCAAAAAATCAGCCGAGGGTTGCAAATGGTCTCTCTACCGCGGTTCTCCCTCTGCTGAAATACTCGCATCCGAGAAACTTCATCCCAGACACGTCGCGGCCTCCAGGATTTCCCCGCGTCACACGGTGTCTGAACCAGGGACCCATAAATCTACGTAACCAGTAACTTTCCAGGAGGGGAAAAATGGAGTAACTTTTCGAGCGCCGGCGGCTTTTCCTTGCAAGGAACCCACCGCCACTTTTTCATCGCAAATATCGAAATGTACCGTCGAAGAAAACAAAATTCCCCCGGCGCGCGAGAGCATAATGTAATGCCGGCCGTGAACGAGATTGTGTCCACCGTCCACCCCACGGCTGCGGGCACGGCTGCGCAGCGGCGCCTGCAGGCGCGGGCTCCATCGCTCGGCCCCTCTCGCACCCCTGCGCCACGGCCCAGGCGCGCGAGGGAGACGGAGCGACGACGGAAGTGGCGTTCGGAGGCGGCCTGCAGGTGAATGTGCCGCCGCCTCGCCTCGCCTCGCCGTTCCCGATTCGTTTTACATCTGAATGAGGGCTGCGGCAGATACCTGTTCCTGCCTCGCCGCGCCTCGCCGCGCCTCGCCGCGCTACCCGGGGCCTCGGCGGCACCACGACCGAAGATGATTCCCTCCGCCAGCAGCGCCGCCAGCAGCGCCGCCAGCCCCAGCATCGCAGCATCGGGCGGTGGCGCTTTTTCGCGGGCTTTGTTCTCCGCGCTCCGAATGCGCAAACACACTGAGACGGTCCGGACGGCCGGCGGGCCGCTCCCGAACGCCGCCCTCGTCGCCCTGTCTCTCTCGCACTCGTGGGGCAGCTCGGAGAGGCAGACCGCCGTTCGGACTTAAGCCGCTCCACCGCCTCTTCGCTGCGAGGCGGCGAATGCAAACAAAGCCAGTACAGCGCTTTGACTTTGTCTTACCGTGGCCGAGACCGTGGCCGTGTGTGTGTGTGTGTGGGGGGGGGGGGGGGAATGGGGTTGCCGTAGTGGTCCACGTTCCCGGCCTTTTGGAAGCCAATTATGAGGAAATCTGGACAGCAAGCGGCCGTGCCGTGCCGTGCCGTGCCGCCGTGCCTTCCGCTCGCGGGCGGGGCGGGGCTGGTCCGGGTGTTTGCTGTTTGCGTGAGACGTTAGTTTGTTTGCCAGAGGACGCCCCCGGCCTCGGAGGCCTTGCTGCCCGTGCTGTTCGTGGTGCATGGCGGCGCGTTCGAGCACGGCTCCGGGCGCCTGGACGCCTTCGGCCCGCACTACCTGCTCAACGAGGACGTGGTGGTGGTGGCCGCCAACTACCGCCAGGGCGCGCTAGGTGGGCGTTTGTACCGGGGCTTTCAAAGTGCGGCGTAAAACAACTTTTTTCACTGTTCATTTTTGTTCCAAGGATTCCTCAACCTGGACACGGAGGAGATCCCCGGCAACGCCGGCCTCAAGGACCTCGTCATGGCGCTGCGCTGGGTCAAGGCCAACATCGCGGCGTTCGGCGGCGACCCGGCCAGGGTGACGGCGCTGGGCTGGTCGACGGGCGCGAGCGCGGTGCACATCCTGTCGCTGCTGCCGTCCACCAGAGGCAAGCACTCCGTCACTTCGTCGCCACAGGTGCCACAGGTGAGGCCACAGGCCACGCGAGTGACTCTAATTCGGAGGTGGTGTTCCTCAGACCTCTTCTCGCGCGCCGCGCTGCTGTCCGGACACGCGTTGCTGCCGCGCGCCTACACGGAGCGCCACATCGCGAGGGCCACCACCCTCGCCGCCATCCTGGGGGCGGCCGACAACAGCACCGAGGCCGTCACCAGGACACTGCAGGAGGCCAGCGTGGACAGCTTGCTGCGCGCCTGTGACGATGTGAGCACCGACCGTTATTGAATCACGAGACCCATAAAACGAGGTTTTAAACGGGAATATGACTGCGTCAGAGTAATGTGTGACAGCCGAATTAACATTTGCTGCTCCCTCGCTCCGCGCGCCTCGCAGCCGCGCATGCGCGCCGTGGGGCTGCCGCTGCCCTCGCCGGAGAGACGCGACACGAAGGGCGCCGAACCCAAGCTGCTGCTGCAGGACCCCGAGAGCCTCCTGCGCCAGCCCAAGGCCCCCGCCATGCCGCTGCTGCTGAGCGTCAACAGCCGTGAGGGCAGCTTCCCCTTCAAGATATGGGGTGCGCCGCAACACTTTCCGGATTTGCCGCGTCCAGGACGACGTCCATGACGGCGTCCATGACGGCGTCCATGACGGCGTGGCGTCCATGACGGCGTCCTTCCGCCCGCCGTGCGTGACGCCGGTGCTTTGGAACGCCCCGCTGATGATGTTCTTTCGGCAGACTTGGCGCAGCGGTCCCCGCAGGCCCTGGACGAGCTTCTGCCGCGCCTCCTGCCCGCCGACCTGCTGCCGGGGGCGGACACCGCCGCCGCGCTGGGCCTGGGGGCGGCGGGGGCGGCGGGGGCGCGGGGGCCGGGCGGCGGGGCGGGGCCGGGCCCGGGGCCCCTCGGCAAGGACGCCGCGCTGCGCCTGGCCCAGCTCGTCCGCGACGAGTACAGCGGCGGCGGCCCCATCGCCAACAACACCGACGTGTTCCTGGAGGTGCGTAGCCAACCAGCCGTCGTTGGGCCGTCCATTGCGCAGTGGGCCTTTTTCTTAAAAAAAAAAAAAAACATCCTGTTTACGTCATGTCGTTTGAACCTTGGCCCATCTTCGTCGCCCCTCACGCTAAGCGTTACATGTTTCGGCCGCTATCTCCCCGGCCGGGCCTTGTTCCGGGGACCGCGCCTCGCCCGATACGCTCTCGTCATTAGTTACCCCGAGGCCACTTCGGCGACCCCGGCTTGCCTGGCTGGCTTGCCTGGCTTGCCGCGTGTTCCCGCCAAGGCCTTCGTTTTTCTTCCTCTGCCGATCAAAATGTAAGGAGTCGTGTCGGGAAGCAACTCATGTTTCACAAGCGCGCGGGCGGCGGGGCCCCAGCACGTCTCGCGGCACCAGGACGCCGCCTTCCATTTTTCACGGCCTGACCACTCGCGGCGATCCTTTGTGCGCCGAGATTCCCCCGCTTCGTCGTGTTTCTGTCGCCGGATGCTCGCCGTCGTCGCGGAGGCCGTCGTCGTCGTGGTGCAGATCGTGTCTTTGCTGCAGCTGCTGGGCGACACCTTCCTGCGCGCCAGTCTGTGGCGCGCCCTGGGGCTGGCCGCCAACATGTCCACCGAGGCCGCGCCGCTGCACGTGTACCAGTTCCAGGTGGACGCCGAGTACAACTACGCCAAGAAGCTGTACGGCATCAGCACGCCGGGTAAGCCCGCCACGGCTGAGAACACAGTGGAAAATTAAGTCCGGAAAATTAAATCGGACACATTGCAGGGGCGACTCACACGGACGACCTCGGCTACCTGGCTCGCTTCGACGCCGCCCCCAACCTCCGGCAAGACACTGCCTCGCGCGGCGTCGCAGCCAAGACGCTGCGCCGCCTCACCAAGACCCTCACCGACTTCGTCAAGGGGTAACGGCGTCTCCATTATCGCCGCTCAGTTCACAGTGCACCACCAAAAAAGACGAACTCGGTGTTTCGGCAGGGTCCCCTTCCCGGACGACTGGCCCCCGCTGCGCGCGGGCTCCACCGACGCGTCGTCCTGGCCGGCCCTCTTGGTGGGGCCGGGGGCGCGCTGGGCCGGCGGCCACCTGGACGGCGCGCACCAGGCCTTCTGGGAGTCCGTGTACCGGGACCTCCGCTCCAGGACGTCCAGCATCGGCCGCGTGTGAGGCCTTAAGCTTATCTGCTCATGTCATTAAAAAATTCTTTTCCATTAGCATTCGGTATTTCTTTTCAATTGACACTGGACAGCCTGCGAGGCGGTCCACCCGCCCCGGCGGCGTGTCCGGCGGGCTTGCCTACCCCGGCCTCCGCGGGCGCGAACAGGACGCGCCTCGCGATCCGCGACTTTGACTGTTGCGCCGCGCCACTGGCGATGCCCACGGCCATCGAAAGGGGACTCGTTGTGACCAAGGCTCAACTTTGGCTACGCGATAAAAACAGCCCACCGTCACAAAAAAAAGTCTGCGAAGGGCCCGCGCCTCTCCATTCGATGCCCAAATTCTTCCCGGGACTACTTTCTGGGCCGCCTGCGCGCGGTTTTGTTTATTTTCCTACGCCTTTCTTCGTCTCGCATATTTAAATGCCAATGGACACAAGACAAACAAAATGCCCCCAAGGCAAGGAGGCCCCCACATAATATTCTGCGAATAAAAACTTAAACACAAACCCGCCTGCCCCCTCCCCCCCCCCTCCTTGCTGACTAAGCTCGGACCTGCTGCTGCTGAATTTCAAATTGGGGGTTTGAGCGCGTCGAGCTCAGTACCCTCCCCCTTGAGTCCTACCCCTCCAGGACTGTTCCATTTGCCCCGAACTAATTGAGCGAGCCCCCTTTGCAGCGTGAACGAGGCGCACGAATGCACTGCACCGCCGCGCCCCCCCCCCCCCCCCCCCCCGCCTCCGTGGCCGTGGCCCCGCGACGAAGACGGAAAGGCTCGCATTGCGCCGTGTCTACTACCCGTGCCAGTTTTGTTGTTGTTGTTGTTGTTGTTGGCTGCTGTTGCTTCCCCCTCCCCCTCCCCCTCCCCTCCTCTTTCCACCGCCCCTTTATTTCGGTCGGAAAATTAGATTCCGCGTCGCAGCAGAAACAGCAGGCAAGCAGCCGAACAAGTAGCAGCAGTGGCACGGCGGGGCGCGCGGCCCGGCTACGGCGGTGGGAACGTGGGAGAGAGCGCTGTGACGTCGGAGAGAGAGAGAGAGAGAGAGCTCGGGGACTGTGCCTCAGCGCACGCAGCCGGGCCGCCCGATGAATTGTGCTGCAAGGGAAACATAATAATAACACCGACTGTACTGCGTGTGTGTTCTTGAGTGCCCCCCCCCCCCCCCCCCCCCGCCTCCCACCGATCCTCCTTCTGTTCTGCCAGATCGGTGGCGTTGCAGCAGATGCCCCTGCTGCTTCCGTACACTACGTGCCCGAGCCGTTTTTTGCCCCCTCTCATCTCACAGGCTCTCCCTAACCTAACCTGCCTCAGCGCGGTGTTTAGTTTTTGGTAACAAAAAGCGCGGAAGTATTTTGTGCGACAGCGCGTGGAAAAATTCGGGGCGTAGAAAACGGGAACGCTTTCACCGCGACGAAATTTAAGGACGAAATAAAATTTCTCGCCGGTGCAACGGAGCCCGGGAAAGGAGTGGCGTAGGGTCGGCAAGGACCGCAATGGGAAAGAAAAAGGCGGGAAAGGGCGGGAAAAACAAAAGCAGCAGAAAGCCACGTGGTGCGAGTGGGCACGCAACAACTAATAAAAAAGGAATGGCGGGAAAATGAAATTACACAACATAACAAACACGTACGCACACACACACACACACACACACACACACACACTCGCGCGCGCTCAGGAGGGAAAGGGAAGGATGTTGTGTGTAGTGTAAGACATAGTCGTGGGGCGGCTGGGGCGGCAGGGTGGCAAGAACACAGTACACTGCACATACTCCGGCCGAGGCAATATTTTCGAGCTACATGCCCTCCACCGACAAGGAAGGCAAGGCCTTGCTGGCTGCCTGGCTGCCTGCCTGGCTGCCTGCCTTGCTGTTACCGAGGCCTTGACAAAGGCTGGCGCAATTTGGAACACATGGATTACGGCCGCTCCCCCGTGGGGACGGCATAAGTAAAGTAAACAAGCAAAAGAAATTCTCTTTTTCTAACGCGTCATTTTGGAATCCAGTTTGCTTCTTTTTTTTCCCCTCACTTTTCCCCCCATTTTCCCGGCGCGTCCGGCGCGGCGCGGGCAGGCCTCTTCGGGTCTACAGTTAAGGAATTGCCTCCCCGCCTTCAAAGGCCTTACATCAGGCCTGGCCTGCTACCCGACCGGCCGACCGGCCCGACCCCCAGCCAATTGAATGCGCCCTGAAAGGCCAAAGGAAAAGGGGGAGGGGGAGGGGGAGGGGGAGGTCTTTGGAAGTGAGCGAAAACCAAAGGGAGTGGCGACCTGCCTCGACCTGCCTCAAGCGCCGACATATTAAAGTCGGCGCCGCGACTTGAACGAGGCGGTCGCGTCGCGCGACGTGCATCTTTAATGGCCAACGGCAGTGCTTCGTTGCACCGTCTCTCTCTCTCTCTCTCTCTCTCTCTCTCTCTCTCTCTCGCACGGCAGGGGGGCGCCCCGTGAGTGCGAGAGAGACGGCGCGACGGCCCTGCCCGGAGCAGCCCGCTGCAGCGCGCATTGTCTGCTACACGGCCAAGTCCAGAAGTCGGTCGCTGCCGCCTTTTCGCTGTCGAGTTCCGCTCGGCTTACGGCGATGAGGAACGCTTTGCGTCAGTTTGCGGCTCCACTGCTAAAATTTGTCCAGTTCGTGTGCGAACCTCGCACCTTGCCCATGATCGCATCGCTTTGCAGCACAGCGCGCTGAGGAAGAAATTCACAGCACTGTTCGGCCCAAAAGTAGATCCGGACGCCGGGAGAAAACAGTAGGGTGCCATCTACGTGACCGAGACTGAGTTCCAGCGAAGATTTCAGGTCAGCAAATATCGCGCACCCTCGGGTAACCGGTCGTCCACACCGTCCAGCCCACCGCCCCAGAGGTCATTCTGGTTTGAGTTTCATACCGCAAGTATTTTGTTGATTTTTCTGCCGCGGCGTCGAAATGGAAATGGCGTGATTGCGAACTCTGGCCGATTGATTGGAAACAGTGCTTTTCTTCCTGTTTTAGTGTGTGTGAAAAAGAGGGGGCGGGGCTGCAGGGTACGGAAGCAGCGCGCCAACAATTTAGGGATGCGCGGCAGCGTCCACATTCCTACCTGCAAACTGATTATTCCAATAGGGCAGCATAGTTTGGCGGGCGGTGCCTCGCGCTGCCTCCTCCACTGTGAGGTGGAGCCCAACTATGTCGCCGGACAGCCGCGCGCCTCCCGGGGGAATTATGACAAAACACACCGCAATCCGCAGTCGGAACGGTCGGCGCGACGAGGACGAGGGTCGACGGCGGGGAGGTCGTGACCCTGCAGCGGGAACGCCCCGCCCCGCCCCGCCCCGCCCCGCCCCGCCCCGCCCCGCCCCGCCTCGCCCCGCCCCGCCCCGCCTCGCCCCGCCCCGCCTCGCCCCGCCCCGCCCCGCCCCGCCCCGCCCCGCCCCGCCCCGCCCCGCTCGCCCCGCCCCGCCCCGCCCCGCCCCGCCTCGCCCCGCCCCGCCTCGCCCGCCCCGCCCCGCCCCGCCCCGCCCCGCCCCGCCTCGCCCCGCCCCGCCCCGCCACGCCCCGCCTCGCCCCGCCCCGCCCCGATGCCGTCAGGGAAAAGGGCCGCCGCGCCAGGCCACGCCAGGCCGGGGCACGGGACAGGGCGCGGGGGCCACGCGGGCCACGCGGCCGGGTCACCCATCAATCGGCTTGATTGGCCTATCCATCCCTCTCGAAACTCGGGGACGTCAGGGACTGGAGGGATCGAGGGGGGGGGGGGAGAGAGAGAGAGAGAGAGAAGGAAGTACCCAGTGCCCTGGCCATGCGGCTGCCGCTTTTCTGCGGTGGATAACTCCGCCGAGAAAACCAGGGCGCGCTTGTGTTGACGTCGGTGACGAGTGTGCTACTCGTCGACTGGGTACCGGCGCAGGCAGGGCGGGCGCCATGGCGTCCCGGTGGCTCAGTGGTTAAGAGCACGATGGGGGAAGCGGCAGGTCCCGGGTTCGCGACCGGTAGTATACACAATTTTTTCGACGACCAATTGCTTGGGGGAGGTATATCCAGAGAAGATTGGGTACCGGCGCAGGCAACGCGGGTGCCATGGCGTCCCGGTGGCTCAGTGGTTTAGAGCATGATGTGGGAAGCGGCAAGTCCCGGGTTCGGGACCGGTAGTATACACAATTTTTTCGGCGACCGATTGCTTGGGGACGTATATCCAGAGAAGATTGAGTACCAGCGCAGGCAAGGCGGGTGCCATGGCCTCCCGGTGGCTCAGTGGTTTAGAGCAAGGTCTGGGACGCGGCAGGTCCCGGGTTCGAGACCGGTCAAAGTACCATTTTTTCGAGACCAGTTTTCTCGAACGGAAGCTCAAGAGGAGTTGCGACATCGGCACTGACAAGCTGGTTCGGTGGCTGAGCGGTCAGGGTAGAGGAGTTGACTAGACTCGGCACTCGGGGTCGCGGGTTCAAATACCCAATGTGACCCCTCTGAGGTAAGGCCTCTGAATCTGGACTCTCACTGTACCACAGAAACCGCGCGCACTTCGGGTGGGCCAGCCTAATACGAACCCACTAATCTGTCGAATTGCGCGGCAGGGAGCGTCGGATGAAGGCCCGGTTCCCATAAGAACACCGAAGCTGATCGGCGGGTCTCCTTGAGACTTTCGTATTGCTACTTTTTGCCGCCGATTTTTTCCATGAAACGCACTGCGGGAATGGTGCATCATTGCCCAGCGGTACTGCGTAGTTCAGTGTGCAAGCTACCAGGTGCGAACTGGTCTTACTTCGGCGTCTTGGGCCCGCTGAGACTCATATTCAGGACCGAGAGCCCCGAACATTCCGAACCGTCCTGGAAACGGGTGACACACGTCGCCAATGGCACCCGTTTCCAGGACCAAACGGCAACCTGGTTAAATTTCGGCATTCCCGTCCTGGAAACGGGTGTCCGGCTACCTCAGAGACGCGTTACGGTCTAACCGTGTAGCCTCCAGGTAGAAAGAAGAAAAAGAGGGGTTGGGGACAGGTTTGCGTACGCCGCCGAAGTGTGGCATATCTGGCCCGATAGTCCCGTGTCAAAGGCACCACTGTAATTACCTCTCCGACATTAGCACCA